TTAATGCCTTCTCTGAAGCCCTGTAGAAGGTTTTTTTGGTTGAGTCCCGAGGTACTTGAATCTCTTCAGACTCTTAAAGCGTTTTTATGGTTCTTTTAGAATAGCGTTTTGTTTATGTCTAGTATTGTTCTACCATTCAACAGTCTTTCCTGCCAGTTAAGTGACTACCATATTCAATAAGACTTCTGCATTCTGGTGCAGGGACTGGCCTTGCAGCTGGGTGAGCGCAGCTTTGCTCTTGGCTTGCTGTTCACTCTATGTGACAGTGCTCTTTGTCTCGCCTTGTGGATTCACCTGTGTCCGAGCAGGTTTATATTCACCCAGGGATTCAGAGGGGCACTTGTGGTGACTGTGGTTCCTTTCTTGTGCCTGGCTTTCTCTCCAGTTCATCGCTCTGAAATTTCTAGCTGCTCCTGGAACTTCGATCTCTTGTCACCCCAGCTCTGAGACTCTGCTGCTCTACTTGAATCCCTGCACTCTGCTGAGACTGGAACTGGTCCGTGGATGGAAAGACATTCTGAGGGCTCTCGCAGTTCCCCCTTTTCAGGACCAGGGTGACACCCCACTGTGGCCTGGTGTCTGAAGCAGTTGTTCCCCATATACCTGTACTTTGTCCTAGTTGTGTATGGTAGAAGGGCGCTCTTTAGAGCAGCTGTCTCCCCACAAACTTCTACTGTTCGGATTTTCCAAAAGAACGTCGACATGCTTACTAGACTCCTGCTTGTTCATTCAGCGTTATGTTATTTAGATTTATATTGTTATATATGAGGCGATTGCAATATTTCCCAGTGCTTCGTGGTACTCTTCTGCTTCTACCGCTCTTAAAATTTCTCTTCTTCTGTTGATGGGATTTGACTTCTTTCTGGTCTTCAGCTCTACAGACAGCTATGCTCTAAATGCACTCCTTTGTGTCTCTCAAGTGTCCATCTGGGAGGACGGTCCTTGGGCCCTCAGGTAGGTGAGTGTTTCAGCCTTGAGAATATGCCAGAATATTAGTGATTCTGGGCTGGAGCGATAGCACAGGGCTGGAGCGATAGCACAGCAGTCGGGTGTTTGCCTTGAACGTAGCCAACATGGCCGACCCGAGTTCGATTCCTCCGCCCCTCTCGGAGAGCCTGGCAAGCTACCGAGAGTATCTCGCCCGCACGGCAGAGCCTGGCAAGCTCCCCGTGACGTATTCGATATGCCAGACACAGTAACAACAAAGTCTCCAATGGAGACGTTACTGGGCCCACTCGAGCAAATCGATGAACAATGGGAGGACAGTGATAGACATAATTAGTGGTTCTAAGTACAGAGTTGAGACTTAGAAAACTTAAAGAGCCAATTGTGTTTGCTTTCTAAAACAGAACTGCTCATAGAGAAATCTTTCTTTTATCTTGCAACATATTTCATATGTGTAGTTGTACCTTATGAAGACTCTTGGAATTTATAGATATTGCGTGGGTTTTCCTCAAAACTAGACAGAAGTATATTTTTTGGTATATGCTTGAAGGATTTGATTATTTAAAGTTTGTAGGAAACATGCCCTTTTGTAGATTTGCATAATCATTGCAGATTTTATGCTTCTTAAAACGATTCGTAACCAGAAAGTGAAGTGCATCCATATGTGCCTGGGGAATATGTTGCTGGTCTGTGTACCTTTTCGGTGTAGTGATAAACAGAATCTACCGTGCAGTGATTACATGATGCCAGTAATAAGCTTGTTTTTCAAAGTGAAAACCTGGCTGTGATGATTCTGTGTGAAATATGGGTAATGAACTTAGAACCCTTCCTGGGGAGTAATTTGAGAGCCAGTACTTGATTTGAGTGCCTTTTTCTAAGGAATCAATTACAGATAATGTTGTGGTCTCCTACGGAGGCCAGTAATGACACCTTTCCTTGCTGGTTTGATTCTGAGCCAGTCGAGAAATGAGATGAAGATTATGGTAGTTGAAGGCCAAAATATTACCTTTCTTCCTGATAAAGTCTAGCTTGGTAGACATGATTATATCTGTCTGCAAGCAGATGCACTTCCTGTTGGACTTTGGACTTGGGCAGCTTCCCATGCCCATCTCCTGGCAAGATGGGAGAGCACTGTGGCGGGCATCTGGCCCTGCATGCAGAGCAGTGGGTAGACACTTCCTAAGGGGAAGCTGTTTCCCAGGAGAAAGAGGGAGATCCTCGCCTGAGCAGGGCTTGATTCTTCCTACATCCCTGATTGGAGAAGTCTCGTCACTTTTGCTGGCAGTGTTTGAGGTCCCCTGTGCGCACATCTGCAGGCACCTCAGCTGGGTGTGCACAAGCCTCAGTGACAGAGCAAGACCCCAGCAAAGGGAAAGGACGAAATGATGTTAATTGTGGAGGAATTACCCAGGTGTAAAATAAAAGTTGTGCACACTTGTGTAGTTCTTTGTCATTCGAATGTTCTTTGGCTTCACCACAATCTTCCAGCGTAATGATAAAGAAAGTAAGGCTCAGTCAAGTGATGTGACTCATCCAAGATCACAAAATGGGTCCTGCTTCAGAGACTGAATTCAGATCCTCTTCCCCCACACTGCACTATATCGTGATGCTTTCCCAGATGGAAAGTTTCACTGTCTGGAAGGATACGGTGTGTTCCCCCAGGGAGCTTGCCCAGACCAGGCTAGTTCAGAATATGGCAGCTCCATGGACTGGAACTTCTTTCAGGAAGCTCCGTTTTGCTCCTTGAGCTGCTGCCTGCCTGCCTGCCCGCCCCCCCCCCCTTTCTTTCCTTCTCCTTCCTTCCTTCCTTCCTTCCTTCCTTCCTTCCTTCCTTCCTTCCTCCCTCCCTCCCTCCCTCCCTCCCTCCCTCCCACCCCCACCCCCCACTGAGCAGATCTCATGCTTTCTCCTGCCTCTGTACTCTGGGATCCCTCCTGGTGGGCCCCAGGATGCTGGGGAGAGAAACCAGGTTGGCTGCTTGTACAGCAAGCACACTGTCCATTGTACTCCCCCTCTGGCCCCTCAGCTGATTCTTGTAGGCTTGATTAAGGAGCAGCAGAGAGTGTGCAGAGAAGGTGTCCGCAGACTGGACACTTGGTGAAAGGTGTGTGTGAGCGGAATAAGGGAGCTAAGCTGGCTGTGTTTTTGAAACTCTGCCGAGGAACTGGGTGCAGAAAGTGTGAATGGATTGGTTGTGTAGATTATCCAGTTTTTGGAATGCCCATTATTCTGAACATGAAATATCTTTCCCAAGGTTGTTATGACATACTGTAGTGCGTGTTATTATTTAACTCATGTTCTGGAACCCTTTGGAGGAAATAACATAGGAGGGAAATATATATAAATAATAATTATTTTATATTAATTATGTACAAGTGAGCTGGAGCGGTATCACAATGGGTAGGGCATTTGCCTTGCACACAGCCGACCAGGGTTTGATTCCTCTGTCCCTCTCAGAGAGCCCGGCAAGCTATCGAGAGTATCCTGCCTACACGGCAGAGCCTGGCAAGCTACCCATGGCATATTTGATATGCCAAAAACAGTAACAACAAGTTTCACTTCGTGTTCCTGGAGTGAGCAGATGTCATTGGGTTACACTAGCGTGCAACAGGGACAAATGAAGACGTTACTGGTGCCTGCTTGAGCAAATCGATGAACAACAGGACGATAGTGCTACAGTGCTAATTATGTACAAAAATAAAATAAATGTATTTTATTTGAGCTGGAGCGATAGCACAGCGGTAGGGCGTTTGCCTTGTGTGCAGCCAGCCTGGCCGAGCCGGGTTCAATTCCTCCGCCCCTCTTGGAGAGCCTGGCAAACTACCAAGAGTATCTTGCCCACACAGCAAAGTCTGACAAGCTACCCACAATGTATTCGATATGCCAAACACAGTAACAACAAGTCTCGCAATGGAGATGTTACTGGACCCGCTCGAGCAAATCGATGAACAATGGGAGGACAGTGTTTGTGGTTTGTATTTTATTTATTATATAATAAAATATTTTAATGAAGTACTTGTACATAAAATAGTAAATAAATATGTTTTAAAATAAAAATAAAATATTTTAGTTATTATTTTTTTTTTCTTTTTGGGTCACACCTGGCAATGCACAGCGGTTACTCCTGACTCTGCACTCAAGAATTACTCCTGGTGGTGCTCAGGGGACCATATGGGATGCTGGGAATTGAATCTGGGTCAGCTGCGTGCAGGGCAAACACCCTACCCGCTGTGCTATTGCTCCAGCTCCCCCCCCCAAAATAAAATATTTTAAATAAAACAAAGTAATAAAAAATAATTTAAATTAAAAAAAAAATCACAGTCAACTCAAGGCCCAGTCCTATCCTTGGTGCTTCAGAGTTCAATTTTAGGTTCTCTGCTCAGTGACTGAGATTTAAATTATTTTTAATTTTTTTAAAAAATTAAGTAAAATTAATATAAAGTAATGATAATAAATGAATAATAAACACACACACTCATGCATGCACCTGTGTTTGGGGAGACAGTGAACTCTCAGCACTGAGCTCAAAGGGAAGGTGTATACCTCCTCAGAGGCACCTCGAATCCAGGAGATCTCGAGGAGCAGTGCGATTGAAATGGGGTCTGTTCTAGCCAGGTTTGCGTGCTTGTCCTGTGTTTCCTGTAGCTGGCCTCAGCTGACCTCCTTCCCCACTTACATATAATTTTTTTCATAGCTATTTTGTTTTTAATCTTCTAGTTTTATTTTCTGAATTTAGTATATAGCAACATTTATCAATCAATGAACTCCTGCCTTTTTTTCATTTGCTTAAATTGTCCTCTGTCTTCTTTCCGTTTTACTGTATTTGTTGCTGCTCTGCCTCCTTTTGACACTTCAGAGACAGTATATTTCTTTAGAAAACGTATCTAAGTCAGTGGCTGAATAAATAGCAGTACTCTTACATTTAAAAAAAAAGGAAAGAAAAAGTATCTATGTAACCCCTTAACTTTTGTGCTTGATTTCTGTCTTTACCTTTCTGTAGTTTTTCCCTTCTCTGCTCAAGCTGCACAAATTAAGTTTCTCTCTTTATCTTTCAGGTCCTACCTTGAACACAAGACCTCCATGAATTATATGCTGGCAACACGCCTCTTCCAAGACAGGTGAGATTTGTTCATCTTTTTTTTAATTATTATTATTTTTTTTGCTTTTGGGGTCACACCCTGCGATGCACAGGGGTTACTCCTGGCTCATGCACTCAGAAATTACTCTTGGCGGTGCTCAAGGGACCATATGGGATGCTGGGAATTGAACTTGGGTCCACTGCGTGCAAGGCAAATACCCTACCTGCTGTGCTGTTGCTCCAGTCCCTAGATTGTTCATCTTTTTTTTGTGTGTGTGTGTGTGCATCTATTTTTTGATTGTTCATCTTTAAAGGCTCAGTGGGACTAGATCAGAAGATTAAGGGAAAGTACTCGTGAAGGAGGGAAGGAGGAGGGTTTTATTTTTTAATTTATTTATAATTATTATTTTTTTTATTGAATCACCATGTCACTGTGAGGTAATTACAAAGCTTTCATGACTGAGTTTCAGTCACACAATCTTCCAACACCCGTCCCTCTACCAATGTATATTCCCCTGTATCCCTCCTGCCACATTCTCCCTCAGCCTGCTTCTATAGCAGGCACTTTTCCCTCCCTCTCTCCTTCCCTCCTTCCCTCCCTCCCTCCCTGCCTCCCTTCCTCCCTCCGTCTGTCTCTCTCTTTGTCTGTCTCTCTCTTTCTGTCTCTCTGTCTCTCTGTCTCTCTGTCTCTCTGTCTCTCTCTCTCTCTCTCTCTGTGTCTCTCTCTCTTTTTGTGCATTTTCATTTGCAATACAGATGCTGAGAGTCCATCATGTTTGGTCATTTGCCTACTTTCAGCACGCATCTCCAATCACAAGTGATCCCTTATAACCATTATTTCATAATGGTCAATGGTCACTTCTCTGTGTCACTTACCCTCTGCCCCACTTCTGGTGAACTATTCATCCTGACCCCTTGTTTCTACTGTCACTTGGTTATTAGTCTCTTACAATGTTCTCTCCCTCCCTCCGTCCCTCCCTCCCTCCGTCCCTCCCTCCCTCCCTCCCTCTCTCCCTCCCTCCCTCCCTCCCTCCCTCCCTCCCTCCCTCCCTCCCTTTCTTTCCCACAAATGAGTTCAGTCTGGAAATGAAGAGTATTATGCTAAGTGAAATAAGTCTGAAGGAGGACAGATATCAGGAGGGTTTTAAAGAAAATTCTTGTTATACTGTTTCTGGTTGACTTTCTAGGGCCTTGCAGAAAACACAACACAGTAACTGCTTGGTTTCCCCAAATTCATTCCCTCGGGTTCCAGAGGCCACAGATTAAACCAGAAGCTTTTAAAGCAATCCTCACCGGTGCCCCAAACCTGTATTTGAAGGGAGACCTTCCCCCTCCCCGGGGCTCTTGCATTATGAACTTAGGATCCCATTTGTCTTACTAGAAACAATTAGAAAGATCAGATCAGAAAAGGTGGAAGGGAGGTCATTGAGAAAATAAAAACAGTGAGCTGTAAGAAGACCCAGCTAACTGATAGCTCCATCAGGGAGAGTGGGGGAAGTGATGGGAAACAGACATTGGAATTCAGATAGCAGAGCCACTGGGAGCCCTGTCAGCCCCCACACAGCACAGTGTGGGAAATAGTGCCCCTTTATTTATTCTTAGTTTTGGAGCCACACCTGGTTGTGCTCAGGGCTTACTCTTGGCTCTGAACTCCAGAATCACTACTGGCTCAGGGGACTATATAGGGTGTAGGGGACCAAACCTGGTTGGTTTTCTGCAAAGCAAATAAATGTCTTACCCCTGTACTATTGCTCTGGCTCTGTGCCTTTGTCTTAAAGAAATGTCTTATTTTCAGTTTGATCCTTCCTTCCTTCCTTCCTTCCTTCCTTCCTTCCTTCCTTCCTTCCTTCCTTCCTCCCTCCCTCCCCCCCTCCCTTCCTTCCTTTCTTCCTTCTTCCATCTATCCTCTCTCCTCTCCCCTCCCCCTCCCTCCATCTCTCTCTCTCTGTCTGTGCCCCTCCCCCCTCTTTCTGGGCACTATGGTCTGCAACACATATACTGGAGGAATATGTTTCAGTACTGAAGTGCCTGTCTTGCTTGCATGCCACCTGGGTTCAAGCCCTGGAACATCTCTCTCTCTCTCTCTCTCTCTCTCTCTCTCTCTCTCTCTCACACACACACACACACACACACACACACACAGATTAAAGGCCAAATGACACATTGTTTGCTTACATTTATAAATGACATTTTTTGAAAGATACAATTTTAGTATAGAAAGCAAATTAAAGGAAGTAGAGAAAAATTTATCTGAAAAATTTGCTTAAAATACAGAGAATCTCAGTTCTTGGTCCGTTACCTGGGCTTTTCCTCTCCTATCTCTGGAGACTTACTAGACTCCCCTAGTTTTCAAGTTCAGATCTTGTTAACACGTGTTCTGCTTTGTTACTTTCCATTATTTTGTTGTTGAAGTGAGTCATTTCAGTCTAAAAGAGTTATGCATTTATTTTCCATTTTGTGCCCATCTCAGATGGTGCTCAGGCCATACTCCTGGCTCTGCACTCCAGGGTCACTCCTGACAGGGTTCGGGGGACCATATACGGTGCCGAGGATCGAACTCCAGTCAAAGGTGTGCAGACCAAGTGCTTATACTAGTGCATTGGCCTCAAGATTTCTATGTTTCAGTGTTGGAAAGCATTCCCATTGTTTCTTTCCTTGTGGAACTTCAGTGATAGGAATTTTGGATCTTTTGCTATATCTTCTATATTTCTTTACTTATACTCTTGCTTTCCTTTTACCGTTTCTTTCATTTTTTCAAAGTTTGGATCTCATTGTCTTTCAGGTTTAAGTTTTGGGAGATTATTTTGAACTTTAGCTTCCAAAGCTTTTAATGGGTCTTTATGTCTATTTTGTTATCCATTATCAGCAGAGAAGAGAGTTGTTTGAAAGGCTTTTGAAAAAAACTGGCAAGTATTCTAGTAACTTTTTGTTTTCTGACTAGTTTTATAGTTTATGGATTTAATATCATTTTATATCTCTGGCTATCTTTATTAGTTTGTTTAAAGTTCCTTTTGTATTATTCTTGATTAGTTCTGTTTGTTCACTTTATTCTATCTCAAACTGTTCTATTTCCTCAAACATTTGGTGACCTTTATTTGTCCAGCCATTTTTATGAGTAATGGGCTGTTTACATAGGATAGGTAGTTGGCCCGCTCTTCTTCATGGGTTGTTCCTCTCCTAAAATGACTTGGACACTATGCTTGAGCCCAGTTCCCTCTCAAGATCTCCAGGAGAAGGAAGGTGGAACAGACAATAGCCCAATAGCCAAAATTAGGAGCCATTTTCTTAGGTAATAAAGCAAAAAGAAAAAAAAAGCTACAAAAATAAGCTGAGATGTGGGGCCAGAAAGATAGTGCAATGGGTCAGGTGCTTGTTTTGCATATGTCTGACCCTGGTTCAGTTCCCAGCACTGCATATGGTTTCCTAAGCACTGCCAAGTGGCACCCCAAGAAAAACAAAACAAAAACAGACGTAATAATTATGGGTTCTTTATGAACACATTCAGTAGCAAACCTGGCATGAGATCTAGTAACTACCATAATTTCAAAAGTATTCACTATCACTGTCACTGTCCTCCCGTTGTTCATCGATTTGCTCGAGCGGGCCCAGTAACGTCTCCATTGGAGACCTTGTTGTTACTGTGTTTGGCATATCGAATACGTCACGGGGAGCTTGCCAGGCTCTGCAGTGCGGGCGAGATACTCTCGGTAGCTTGCCGGGCTCTCCGAGAGGGGCGGAGGAATCGAACTCGGGTCGGCCATGTTGGCTGCGTGCAAGGCAAACGCCCTACCGCTGTGCTATCGCTCCAGCCCTTTAAAAGTATAAATGCTGATAATATTCTGAAACATCTGTATTACTTTCAAAGCAGTCTGAGAAAGGAGTATTTTTAGAATTTTTTTAATTGAGTCACCATGAGATGCATAGTTACAAAGATCAGGTTTCAGTCATACAGTGACCCAACACTCATCCCTCCTGTCCATTTCCCACCTCCATTGTCCCAAGTTTCCCTCCCACCACCTCCAGCCTGGCTCTATGGCAGGCACTTTCCTCTCCTTCCCTCCCTCCCTCTCTCCCTCCCTCCATCCTTCCTTCCCTCCCTCCTCCCTCTTTTTCTCTCCTCTCTCCCTCTCTCCCTGCCCCGCTCTCTCTCCCTCTCTTCCTTTCTCTCCCTCTCCCTTTCTCTCTCCCTCTCCCTCTCTCTCTGTCTCCCTCTTCACCTCTCCCCCTTCCCTCTTCCCCCTTCTGGCCACTATGGTCTGCAACACAGTTACTGAGAGGTTTTTGTGTTTGTTCCTATACATGCTTTCAGCATGCAGTTCTTATCCAGAGTGATCATTTCCAGCTATCTTTGTCATAATGACCCCTTCTCCATCCCAATTGCTTTCTCCCACAGCAATTAAGGCAGGTTTCCAACTGTAGACTAATCCTCTTTACCCTCATTTCTACTATTCTTGGGTATTGGCCTCAATTATGTGGGGTTTTTTTATATTTCACAAGTGAGTGCAATCATTCTCTGTCTGTCTTCCTTCTCATTCACTTCATTCAGTATAATACTCTCCATGTACATTCATTTATAAGCAAATTTCATAACTTCATTTTTCCTAATTGCTGCATAGTATTCCATTGTATAGATGTACCATAGTTTCTTTAACCAGTCTTCTGTTCTTGGCACATGGGTTGTTTCCAGATTCTGACTATTGTGAATAGTGCTGCAGTGAGTATAGAAGTGCAGATGGTGTTTCTGCAGTGCATTTTTGGGCCCGCAGGTTATATTTGCAAAAAGGGGTATTGCTGGGTCGTATGGAAGTTCAGTTTCTGTATTTTGAGAAGTGCCCATTTTGTTCTCCAGAAAGGTTGGACCAGTCAGCATTCCAGAATGCTGTCCAACACAGAAGGAGTGTCCCTGTTTCCCCACATCCGCGCCAGCACTGGGTGCTCTTGTTCTTGGCAAACAAATGTGTTCTTAGCACACATTTGTTTGTCTTGGGGCCACATTGGCAGAGTGTAAGGCCTACTCCTGGCTCTGCTCAGGGATCACTCCTGGCAAGGCTAGGGATCAGGGGATCAAACCTGGGCTGGCCATAGATAAAGCAAGCGCCATGACCCCTGGACTGTCTAGCCCCTGAGAAATGAGTATTTTTCTTTTTGGTGTTCTGCTGTTGTGGTTGGTTTCCTACCTGTGTGTCAACTAAATGCTAAATTTTGGCTAGAGGAATAAGGTGTTTATGTAAGCTGGTGTACTCCCTGAATTATTTTTCAGCTCCTAGTTAACAAATCCTTAAAAAATGACCTTCATGCCTCCAAATGTTTCTGTGTTTAAGAAGATGCCCTCATGATGTCCTCTTACCTTACCTTTTTTGCTTTTCCCACAACCTAGGACATTACCTTTCATGCCTCCACATCGCTACGTGTTTGCCGTTTTCCCTCTCCCTCTCCTGCTCTCTCCTCCCCTCCTCTCCTCATTTTGGACCACGCCCAGTGGTGTTCTGGGGCTATTCCTAGCTCTCTTTTCAGTAGTGACCTAGGGGGCGATATGCAGTGCTGGAAATTTGAACCAGGCTCTCAGTTTCTGCAGCATCTGGCCAGACAAGACCCTTACTTCTGTACTGTCTCTCCGGTCTAATATTGTCTTTTTCTGATCTATCCCCAGATTCTTTTGCTATTTCCATCATTCTTTTGTCCAGATTCAGGGAGGTTCTTCTAGCTCTTCTTGGTCTTTTGTCAGATTATACCATAGTTGCCCATTTACTAACTAGTCTCTACTTTGCATGTTGGTTTTTAAGAATAGACTTAGTTCTATATATTTGTCAGTATTAAAAATCTTCCCCACCCCCAACACAGAGGCATACATTTAAAAATAACCATCATTGTGACAAACCCTCCCATTGAATAATAAGACTGTTCTCTTTAATAGGTATTGATATTTTTACCCCTTTCAAATCCCACTTGAAAACTAATTTCCCTAGTAATTTAGGTTAATTCTATCTTCCCTGTCCTTCTCCCTCCCTCCCCGCCCCCCTTTCCCAGCAAACATTATGTGACCTGCTCTGCTCTCAGACAGTGTGATAGTGACATTTATGGGGCTTGTAAACTGGATGCTCTGGCCTCTTCTTCAGACTGAAAGCAGTGGCAGGTGGGTGCCCAGGTGAAAGCAATACTTTCAAACTGTAGTTGTAATATGGAGTTGGAGTTGCAAATTGCTGAAGAAAACCATTAGCTGATGAAAAGTTAAAGTCATCTTGGGGAGCCGGAGAGATAATACAGCGACGGGATGATCGCCTTGCACGTGGCCAGTCAAGCAGGGCTTGACCCCTGACATTGCATTTGGTCCCTTGAGCCCTGCTAGGAATGACCCCTGAGCGCAAAGCCAAGATAAGGCCTGAGCACTGCCGGGTGTGGCCCTCCACTCCCCATCCCCTGCCCCCCCCCAAAAAAAAACCCACCAAGAAACCTCATCTCGGGACTTTCTGATGATAATGTGAAAATCAGAACATTAGCACTAATAGAAGACATGGGGAGAAAGGAACAAAATGTTTGGGCCAAGACTTAAATGTTTCACTTGATTTTATTGGGTGGTATAGGGGGCCTCCCAAGCAGTGCTCAGAGGGTCCTGGGACCCGTCCCAGAAATTCTCTACTTAACTGGTTTCCAGGTGCTCTGGAACCTCAAGGGCTGTACTCAGCTGTGTTTTAGAGGGCCATGTGGTGCTGGGAATGGAACTCAGGTTGGTTGCATACAAGGCATGCACCTTAGCCCCTGTGCTCTCTTGCTTGCTTCTTACTTAAGACTTTTTTAGACAGAAAATCTTGGTGTGTTGATTATTTCTGTGTCTTTTTCCAAAGCCAAAGTGATTCCCATTTGCATACATTCTTAAGATGATGCCATTTTAGAATGGACAGCAGATGGAATATAGCCAGGGCTAGCTAGGTGGTTGTGTGTGGTGATCAAAGCATCTCTCTCTCTCTCTCTCTCTCTCTCTCTCTCCCCCCCCCCGCCTCTCCCTGTCTCTCCCTTTCTCTCCCCCTCCCTTCCTCCCTCCTCTCTCCTCTCTCTCAGACGGGTTTTGTTGTTGTTGTTAATTGTGGAGAACCTAGTTTTTGAGGAGCAGCCCTTTTGAACCCCAGGAGCATTGAGATCATTTTGTTTTCTCAATATAGTTCAGTGCAAATTAGAAAGAGCAGGAGAATCAAAGACACGAGCCCCAGGTTCAACTTTAAACCCTGTAAGCTTTGACTTTGCTTGTGTCATACAATTTATTTCATGCAGTATGTCAAGCAACATATCCTGCTCCTGTTTTTATAAATTTGCGTTGTGACCAAAGACCCAGATATGGGCTGAGGAGATAGCTCAGTGGGCTGGAGTGCCCTGCTTACAGGAGACCCAGGTTTCATTCCTGATACTGCATGGTCCCAGGGCAGCACCAGGAGTGACCTCTAAGCACAGAGCTGGAGGTCCAGGGAGTAACCCTTGAGGACTGCCAGGGTTCCAAAACCAAATAAATAAGTAAATAGACATGCAATGGTAAGTACTTGGTGTGATTTCCCCACAGAATTAAGCTGACCTTTACTCTGTGGATTTTTGTGATCTAAACACAAGCTTGTGATGCTCCGCACTTTTCTGTGAAAGCTCATGGTAATTCTTTCTACCTCCCACCAAAGATTCCTTCCCTGACATCATTTCACATTGAAATTCTGTAGTTACAACCTCAGAAGTGCATGTGACACTCGGAAGGGAGTGTCTGCATAGCGCTCTCTAACCTGCATGTCCTTTTGCTTTTACAGGGGAAACCCAAGAAGGAGCTTATTGGCAGGAAGAACACGGTAATTGATTTTCGAGAGTTGAGAAATGGGCCTAATATATGACCACTAAAGTATAGCCATTTTTAATTCAGTTCAGCTTAAATAGTAACATTAGTAGGTTTCTATTAAACAGTATTCTTTAGTAAAATTTTACATTTGTAAGTTTGTGATTTACCTTTTTTTGGTAACTACGGATGTATTATTTCAATGAATGATGTTTTGTTTGGCACTCTAAGAGAAACCAAGAAATAGTGATGAGATTTCAAGACTACTTTCATGTTAGATTTTTATTTTAAGGTTTGATTTCAGTTTGATTTACCTGAGGCTTTCAATTCTGTACCTTCTGAGACTTATCAGAACTACTTTGTTTGCCAGTTGACTAGAGGGTGTAAGATACCTGGGTCTTCATTTTGGAAAAGGAAAGAAAGATCTGAGAGGATGGACTGAAATTACCTAATTACCCCAGCCACAGCAAACACATTTCCTCTGCTTACAGAGAGTTGGAGACATTATGCCTATTTCTTTGATGTTATGCCCCTTCGAAAAACAAAATGGTGAAGAGACCTTTTATAACCTTGTTTTTTTTTTCTTTTTGGGTCACATCTGCCGATGCACAGGGGTCACTCCTGGCTCTGCACTCAGGGATTACTCCTTGCGGTGCTCGTGGGACCGAGCATATGGGATGCTGGGAATTGAATCTGGATTGGCCATGTGCAAGGCAAACGCCCTACCCGCTGTGCTATCACTCCAGTCCCAGTGTTTTTTTTTTTTAAATCCTATGATATATATACATATATATATATATTTTAAGGAAGGACACATTATAACTTCAGTTGTTAGTGGAGAGTAGAGAGAAATCAAATTTTGTGGCTTGTTTCCAAATGTAAGACACCCTTAGTTTATAAATTTTCTCCTCTTTTGGGTTGAGGATTATGTTTCCTTTAGTACAATTTTCTCCTCAACTTAAAAATTGATGTGGGTGACAAAAATCCTAAAAACAAGGATATTTAAAGTTCACTGTATTCTGTCTTTTTCATCAATTAATTTTACATTGCCCTCAGTAGACTTTTTTTTTTTTTTTTTTTTTGCTGGCACAGAGATGTAAGCAAATGAAATTTGGAATATGCTGGAGCATTAAAAAAATTATCTTTTTTTGGGGGGGGCACACCCACCAGTGCTCAGGGTTTACTTCTGGCTCTGCACTCAAGGATCATTCCTGGTGGTGCATGGGACCATATGGGATGCTGGGGATAAACCCAGGTTGACCACATGCTGTACTATCTCTCCAGCCTGAAACAAGTCTTAATATATTTAAAGGCATGAAAATCAGACACACTGTGTTCTTTTACTACAGTGGAATTAAAAGTCACTGGCAATAAAAATCTACTTGGGAAGCGAACCAATCTATTTGGGAATAAAGAGTACAAGAAGAAAATTATAGGCTAATGTTTTTATGAACATAAACACAAAATTACTTAAAACAATATTAGCACTCTGCCAATATAGAAAAAGGATAGATCATTTAAGTGAGATTTTCCCCAGTACTGCAAGGTTGATGAACATTTGAAAATTAGCCACTATAAGCACCATATTAAATAAAGGAGAAAACCCAGATAGTCATTTTATTGAATATTTAAAAAAAAAACCAGGATTTGATGAAAGTTACCACACATTTATAAGGAAAACTCCCTAAAACTCAGAAACAAGAAGGAAACTTCTGTCTGATAAGCATTTCCTGATACCTTAATGGCCTAGAAGACATCTCCCTCTTGATTAGCACTAAGGCAAGGCATTTCTTCTCACTGCTTGTGTTCATTAGAGTTTCTAGGCAAGACAGGAGAGCAAGGGGAGAAGAAAAGAAATCAAAGATGTGCTGATTAGAGGGGACGAAGAGATAGTGCACTGGGGAGGGTGCTTTCCCTGCGCGTGACCCATCTGGATTGGATCAGCATCCCATATGGTTCTCTCAGCACTACCAGGAATGATTCCTGAGTGCAGAACCAGGAGTAACCCCTGAGCATGGCTGATGTGACCACAGAACAAAACAAAAAAAAAGATGTACTGATTAGAGAGGGAGACATTAACTCTGGTTATTCTTGGATGACATGCTCAGGTTGGTAGAAGGTCTTGTAACATCTCCTATGTGTGTGCATTTAGGTCAGAGAGAGAACAGGTTAGATACCCTGGTGAGTGTGTGTGTGTGTGTGTGGGTGGGGGGGGAACGACTTGAGAATTACAGAGCCTGAAATAACCCCTGAGCACTATCCCCAAAACTTTTTTTTTTAATGTGTGTTTTGGAAATTCTTGGTTAATACACAAGGACAAGATAGTAAAATTGTCAGTATTTTAATGTATCAGTAGTAATTCAGAAGTGAAATTTGCAGTTCCATTTACAATAGCACTTGAAAATATGTCATTCTTAGGGATAAATTTAATAAAATTTATTAAATTTTATTAGATATGTAATTGTCACTGTCACTGTCCTTCCATTGTTCATTGATTTGCTCGAGCGGGCCGAGTAACATCTGCATTGTGACACTTGTTACTGGGTTTAGCATATTGAATACATCATGGGTAGCTTGCCAGGCTTTGCCGTGCAGGCAAGATACACTCGGTAGCCTGCCAGGCTCTTCGAGAGGGGCGGAGGAATCGAACCAGGGTTAGCCGTGTGCAAGGCAAATGCCCTACCCAAATGCTGTGGAGTAAATTGTTGGTTATACATTTGTGCTCAAACAAATGTATAAAATATAGAAAATGTAGAAAATAATAGACAGTGTGGATATTCAGTGTGTCACTCTCTAAATTAAAATTCTGTAAGTGTTCTCATAATAAAATGTTGGAAAAATATAATTTGCTCAATATAGCTAAAAGGTATTACAGTCTATAAGAAATTCAGCCACTTACAGAAATAACTTAAGGTATGTCAGCTGTGTGCTGGGTAAACTCAAACGTCAGTGAGTGCATGATCCGTAGTAGTCATGGTCTTTGCCCTCATAGAACTGGGTTATTTTTTTCAAGCAAAGGAAATGATGCCAGGAAACAGTGCATGGCAAGCCTCTTGCCTCCTGTACTAGCTTCCTGACCCTAATCTGGACCTTTGAACTGTTTTATTTATTTACTTTTTATTTTATTTTATTTATTTATGAATTTCTTGTTCCTTCCCCCACTGTCACAACTTTCTTTAGTTGACTCAATTCCTGCTCCAGAGAGAATGCTTCCTAAAAGTTTGAAGCAGGCCAAAAGACACAACCCTTACATTTTACTTAGAGACTGAAAACTCATAAAGGACTTAGAATGATTCTTTGACACTGATTTGACTTTGAAGGGAGTATTCCTGGGTGAAAGAGATAGTACATCGGGTCAGTTGTTTGCCTTGCATGAGGCTGACCCTGGTTCAATCCCAGCATTGCATATGGTTCCCCTAGTACTGCCAGGAATGATCCTGGAGCACAGAGACATGAGTAAGCTCTGAACACCACCGGGTATGGCTTAAAATTAAAAAAAAAAATAGAATATGCTTTGAGTTCCAGAGAATTCAAGAGACAGAGTTCAGAGCCAACCAGCTGAATCTTGAAATTGGAATTAACAGAGTTGACTGCCTAGTTTCAGGCACTGGCTGTTTATTTTGTTGTTGTTGCTTTTTTTTTTTTTTTTTAAGCCATTGACCAAGGGTCCTCTTTCTTTTCTGGCATGGTTATCTCTGTAGCATTTTGTCTAGTCCCCGTCTGGACTAGAACTGATAGCAGTCACTTCCCTAATTTGTGATATACCTTTAATGAATACCTAATGGAGCTGCTGTCACCTGCACCCCTATCCCACTGCCCATTTGTAACTGCTGGCGCTGAGTTTGTCCTGCATCTGCCACCCTTCCTGCCAGTGCCTCTGACTCTGCCTCTACTCCCCACCAGGGGAGGTCTTGCCCCTCGGCATTTCTCCTGTAGCTGATAGCACCCCAGGCTAGGTGTTCTTCTCTTGGGGTGCTGGATACTGAATCTTGGTGACAGTCACTTAGACTCTGCCCATGGGAGGCCCCGTCAGCTCCATGCTGTCCTGCCAAGGTCAGCAGCCATTCTTCCCTTCATCTCAGCCTCTGCAGATTTAGTATTTGTTAAATATTGTACACTTTCAGAAGAATGTATGGTTCTGGGTTGCAGTGAATAGCAATACAAGAAATGCCTGTAACATTCACTCAAAACTAAAATGTGTTTTTATTAGTGAAACACCATGAGGTACAGAATGTGGGAAATATTGTCTGCCACAGATGCAGGGGCAGGGTGGAAAAGGGGGGTGTACTGGGGATATCGGTGGTGGGGAATGTGCACTGGTGGAGGGATGAGTGTTTGATCATTGTGTGATTGCAACCCAAACATGAAAGCTTGTAACTATCTCATGGTGATTCAATAAAATTAGAAAAAAAAAACTAAAATGTGTTACTGAAAAGATGACTCCCATCATTCTTAGGATATGAGGTCTTGGGTGGCATTTTACCATCTCTTCAGTAAATTCCAGTCTTTCTATAGTTAGAATACTTAATCATTTCTTTTCTTTTTCTTTTTTTTATTGAATCATCGTGAGATACAGTTACACAACTTTCATGTTTAAGTTTCAGTCATACAGTGATCGAACACCCATCTCTCTGCCAGTGTACATTTCCCACCACCGATGTCCCCAGTATCCCCCCTCACCCGCATCCCAACCCTGCCCCTGCCTCTATGGCAGACAGTTTCCCCCATACTCTCTCTCTACTTTTGGGCATTGTGGTTTTTAAGCATTTCTGTAAGTATATTTTTGTTCTGAACATTTAACAGCTTCAGATGGCCCATTAGCGGCAGTTTTACTATAGGTACAGTATTCCCATTGATCTTTTAGAATTCATCAGAGTTACCACGGCCAGTCTGTCATCACAGTTGAATTCAAGCTTAGCCTTGAGATATTTTGAATTCCCAAGGAGAGGAGTTTCTGGAGACTGTAGTTACCATGTTATTTTTTCGATAGAATGCCTGCTGACGGAGTGCCGGAATTGAAGGTGGAAAGCATTAATTCAAAGGCTAAGCTTCACGCTGCTCTTTATGAGAGGAAGCTCTTGTCTTTGGAGGTACGAAAGCGTAGACGACGGAGTGGCAGATCGAGGACTGTGAGGCCGAAATATCCAGGTACAAGGTGGTGCGCTCTCACCACATTCTATTCCCTTGCTCCTACTTCACTGTCCTGATCAGCTTCTTCATAGTTCAATAGTTCATGGATAAGAACCTTCCCCATAACATAATCTCGGGTTTTTTTGGGGGGGAGTGATTTTCCCCATAAAAGTATTTTAAGTTTTTTCATCTTCCATTTGTAATCTCTGTATTGAATACTATTCAAAGCACATACATTGTTTTAAAAAATTATTTTTATAAAGTTGTTCATAATAATTTATTACATTTACTATTCGAACACTAATCCCACCCCATTACACTTTCCCACCACCATATTTCGAATGTTTTCACTCTAAATCCTAAATCCAAACTCTAAATCCTGCCCCCAAAGCAAAACCGAACTCATTTATTTTGTATTCCTTGTTATGAATAATTCATTGAAAATAATCCAAAAAAGTTTCCTTAGAGGAAAGTGTGTGAAGATTGTTGTATTTCACCCAGGAGCCATTAAGCATTTCTATAAGAGATTAATAACGTGTTGTTAAAGGTTGTGCCTTGTTTGCTTATATATATATATAGATATTTCCCCCTGAGATTGGTTACCCTCTACTTTAAACCCCATCAAACATGGTGTGCCTCTCTTGGTACACCAGAAGCACCTACATTTTGATTTTTGCTTTTACTCCAGCTTATAAATAACTTGGTACTTTAAAAATAGTAGCACTGTCCTCCCGTTGTTCATTGATTTTGCTTGAGTGGGCCCAGTAACATTGTGAAACTTGTTGTTACTGTGTTTGGCATATTGAATATGTCACGGGGAGCTTGCCAGGCTTTGCCATGCAGGTGAGATACTCTCGGTAGCTTACCCAGCTTTCCGAGAAGGGCAGAGGAATCAAACATGGGTCGGCCTGGTTAGCTGCGTGCAGGGCAAACGCCCTACTCACTGTGCTATCGCTCCAGCCCTTAAAAATAGTATTAACCTTAATGAAATCCTGAGTGTTTTCAATCAGGTTTTTCATAATTAAGTCCATTAATTCATAATGATTAACTCATCTTTTGGTATTGCTGAATGGTGTAAATATTTTAAACATGATTAGTCTCCTTTGGAATGTCCCACATTTTAAAGTCTATTTGTTGCAGATTTACTGACTTTCTTACTTCCTCCCCTTCACTGATCACCTCTGTCAGACACTTTAGATGCTGGGGTTTCACTGGTGAATTTAAAAGATTGGTTCTTGTCCTCCTATTCATTTCCAAGTCAGTGAAGGAGGAGAAGGAATCAACATAGGATAGAAAGACATTCCTCAACTCTTTGCGCTTCCTTGAAAGATACCCTCCTGAAGGTCACTAATAATTGTACAGTTTACTAAGAAGCTGTTTGTCTTAAGTGGTGAGAGAGCCTTTGGGATTATGATGAGAAACACCAGCTCTAATGAAGAAGTTCTGCAGTATAGAAGATTGGAGGGTGACATTTGCTTGCTATTAATTTTGTCTTATTTGTAGTTTGACTTAGTAGTGGGCTTTTAAGAAGAGGTAAAAGGAAGGTATTGGGAGAGAGGAAACTTTAATCCTTTTTTCAGCAACATTAGTGATTCTTCGCATTTAGTGATTACCCAACCAGCTGAAATGAATGATAAAACTGAGACAGAGAGTGAAGAGGAGGAGGATGTTGCATTAGACAATGAAGATGAAGATCAGGAAGTATCCCAGGAGGAGTCTGCTGGGTCTATTGTGGAAAATCAAGGCAAATACACACCCGCATTGACCAATACAGTAGAAAGTTCAGCCAAAGAAAATGTCATGAAACTTCCTGACTGGAATAATAAAAGTGAACATTGCAGCAAAATTGAGCCTCACCAGCCAGACCCCAAATTTAACCTGATGCAGATTCTGCAAGATAACGGCAATCTTAGGTATGTACCTTTTGTTACTTCAACAAGTAAAACAGTTAACAAAGTGGCATGTACCTTGTACCACTTACTGTGCTCATGGCTTTGCAGCCATTTTTCATTTAATCTTACAGCCATTCCGTGAAGTAGTGGCCGTGAGTTGGTATCACTGCCATTAAGGAAGCTGAGCCTTAGAGGGGTTTCTTGTTTAAGGTCTAGAGCTCTGATACCAACCTAGCTTTCGTCAGAGCACAGGTATTCAGTGGCGTCTGTCTGTCACCAGCACAGAGTACAAACAGACTCGCTTGTGGGGGCTGCATGCTGACGCCCCAAGAGCTGTGACTCCGTTGTGTGCCAGGTGTTCTTGCTCTCTTGGCAGAGCTGGGGGAGCATGATGGGGGACTGACAGGGAGAGTAGTCTTTCCAGAGACTAGGAACAAGTCACCTGGAAACAGAATAACTTAGGCAGAACAGCCAGTACAAGACCTTGAAATTGGACTGAAGTTGGCACATTTGAGAAATGTCGATCAGCATGGTGGAGTTTTCTGGAGAAAAGGGCAGAGTAAGAAATGAGGCTTAAACTCTTTTGCAGGCCACAGCACCCAAATGGAGAGAGAGAAGGGTGGGATGGGGGGCATGAGGGGGTTGGGAGGGATACTAGAGTTAGTGGAGGTGGAAAATGGGCACTGGTGGAGGGATGGACACTCGATCATTGTACAGCGGAAACCCAAGCACAAAAATTTGTAAGTCTACAACTGTACCTCATGGTGTTTCACTAATAAAAAACAAATAATACAATAAAATTTTTTAAAAATGAGGCTTAAAAAAATGATGTTACTTGGTCATAATAGGCTTTCACAAGGGATAAGACTCATTTTCCAGATGGCTCATTGTCAGGCAGCTCTAGATTTAGAAAGATCTGTTTGCACTGTGGGATAGTGATTGGTTAGAGGAGAAATTGAAGTTGGAGAGGTGAGTGTGGGGCTCTAAGTTCAGAGCCAGAGAGAGAACAGCCTTGACCAGGAAAAATGGAAGAATGACTGGAGAAGGGCATAAAACTGAGATGGAGGAGTTAGAGTGCAGCTCCAGAATGTCAAAGACCTTAGAAGGCCTCCCAAGTTTGGATGAAGAGTGAGCAGACAGTCTCCAATTTTCAACCAAGACAGGACTGCATACGCAGGGTAGTAAGTGTGAGTTGAGAAAATAGGAAAGCAGAGGATTTGGCAGTTAAGAAATGTGAGAATGCATGACAGAACAAGCTAGCTAAGTGGAGAAATGTTATTTATTTTAAAGGTAGGGATTTGGGGACCAGAGAGATGGTTGAACAGGTTGGAGTGCCTGCTTTGCACGTGGGAGGCCCGGGTCTGACATCCAGCACCACAGTGCCCTGAGCACCACTGGCAGTGATCCCTGAGCACCACCAGCAAGGGACCAAAGAATTTTAAAATCTGGGGACGTTATTAATAGACTAGGGGAAGGAGTTGATTATAAGAGGGTTGATTAGAGGCATAGTAGTGAAAATATATATTGACAGTCTTGAAGAAAGATAGAATGAGGTCAGTGCAGAGAAGTGCCTTTACAAAATCAACAAGCACTATGAAAAGAATGCAATCATTAAAGTTAAATCTTAATTGATGCTGATTTTATTTCTAAATTAAGATACCAGAGGGGTTTGCTTTGTGCAAGGCAAGTGCCTTAACTCTTGTACCATCTCTACAGTTCTAAACATCACTTTTTACACTGTAAGGAAGACAGGTGTTGCTGAAGTTTGGGTGTCTGGAGGGATGTAGTTAGTGCTTGACATAGGACCGTGGAGAATGAGGGTCATTCCATAGTCCCATTAGTCATCTCACTGATCTGGCCTGTGCTCTGGCCTGTTTTGGGATTACCATCTGACTTAAAGGGTGATGGAGCTTCTCTCCACCTTTTCTCCCTTTCTGTTAAATCAAGGTTGGGAATTGACAAGTGTTTCTCAAACTGCTTTCTGAGTCCACTGAATTGAAATAAAATTGCAAAACCACAGAATTGTATTCTAAGATCCTTTCCAACAATAATTCTACTTAGCCATTGTAGGAATAAATGCTCTCTTGGAAAGTGTTGCAGAAATCCCTTTCAGTGTGTACACACTGATCGCAAGCTGTTTGTGGGAGCATTGGTCGGAAGCTGTTTCCCCGGAGCTGCCTGTGGGGTGTTGCTGAAGGGCCTGCTGGGGGCCCCCAGTGAGGGTTTGAGACTCGTGGCCCTTGTCCCCTGCTCAGTATTTTGTGTATTGAGGCTCCACATAAACTTTCTTTTTTTTTTTCCATAATAGGCTTCTTCACTGTAAATCCTTTTGGTTTTCCATGCCTCCATTTGTTCTGGTTGCCAATCACCAGCTAACCAAAGGATACTTTAGGTACAAGCTCCAAATCAGCATCCCAGGACTCTTTAGTAAGGCCTGTAGAAGTGAAAAACTCAGTGCTTGGTCATTTGATTTGCAGCAAAGTAATGGTCCAACTTCAAGTGCTAATTCCCTCGTCCAGAAGCCTTCTGAGGAGAGGCCTGGTCAGCTCCTATCACAAGAGAAACTTTCATTAAAGTTAAGAATTTGTGTCATTTATTTTGGAAATAATTTGTCATGGAGATAACGCCGCCGGGAAAGGTTGGGGCGAAAGGATTTCCAGGAGGTGACAGGGATCGGATTGTCCTTGTTGAGAAACACTGGAAACCTTTTATTTGTTCAAAGTCATACTGTGTTCCTATAAATGATCTCACCAATGACCAAGCTGCAACCTTCTTTACCTTTCATTAAGCTCTCAAACGCAAAACTGCTCTGGAATTTGATTCCCTTCCCTACCGCAGTCCCTTAGTTCACATCAGAGAGGTAAGACTTCGCCCCTTTGAGGGCTTCCAGTTGGTTCTGGAGCCGTCGCCTTCGCTCCAACCTCCGGGAAACAGCGAGTAGCGAGAACTCGGTGATCACATGTGTGAGGATTGTAAATACAGTTTGTGTTGGGCCCCAATCTTCGCTGATGTCATTTTGGCGAGCATGTCAGAAGGCCGATCAGCTGAAGTAATCAAAAATCCGTGCTGAAAGAAAACAGATCTGCAGTTAGTAGCCGAAGTAAGACTGTGCTGCCCAGTCTGTCCTGCACGGCTTTCCCCAGCCCTTGCTCCGTCACATAGCCTGTTGTCATCCTGGACCCTCTGGCAAAGGCCAGCTGCTCCTCCGGGCGTGCTGTTCAGCTGTTTGGGCTCTGGAATGATTTTTTTAATCTTTTTTTCTCATTGAAAATTTGGACTTGTCCTAGCCCATCAGTTCATCCACGCCAAGCTCTGTTGGATCTCACTCATTTGTTCTGTGCTCCAGCCACTTCTGTCATATAGCTGGGGGGGGGGGGGGGAGGGGGGGAGGGGGAGAAGAGCGTGACCTTAAAATTTGGTCTCAAATGTTCCTTTGTAGGACTTATCTATTTCCTGCGGTAGAGGCTTTTGCACACAGAAATATTAGTTGCCATAGCAAAAGATATACTTCTGTGCCAACTGATAAGTATGTTCCTGAGTGCCACCAAGGCAGAAAACCCTTTCTTCATTCATACAGAATGAACTTGGGAAGACACTGACCTTTTCCTGTCTGTTTCCCCAGAAAGTAAAGTTCAAAGAGATAAGATGTAAAAGTAGGAGCCTAATGTTTTGTTCTTGTTTGTTGTTTCTCACCCCACCGTGGTAATAATGTGAAAATAAACAGAATTTTCTATCACTGATCCTGTCAGTGGAAAATTCAGCTCTTGATGAGTTGGTGAGGAGAAGAAAGCCTTTGTGTTTAGGAGTGGAGGGACACTGACACTGGTGGTAGGTTTGGAATTGGAATATGGACTGCTAGAAGCTATTATCAGCAGCTTTGTAAATCACAGTGCATAATTTTTTAATGATAAAGAGGAAAAATAAAAACTCATGTGCTGTGTAGAAGGATTCTTTTACTCAGGAGAGGCTTCATTTTCTTTAGCCATCCTGCTCTCTTAGCAGGATCCTCAGAGGGTACCTGGAGGCAAGTACTGGGTTGATAGGTTGCTGTTCTGCCTCATAACGGTGTGTTGTTTTGGATTTCTGTAGCAAAGTACAGGCCCGAATAGCATTCTCTGCCTATCTCCAGCATGTCCAAATCCGCCTGATGAAAGACAATGAAGGACAGGCATTGAGTGCCAGCTGGGCTGCCAAAGAGGACGAACAGATGGTGAGGCTCTTCATATTGGAGTGTTTTCACTTTCTTCCTCTTTTGCCTTTATTTTTCCTTCCTTCCTTCCTTCCTTCCTTCCTTCCTTCCTTCTTCCCTCCCTCCCTCCCTCCCTCCCTCCCTCCCCCCTCCCTCCCTCCCTCCCTCCCTTCATTCCTGTATTAAGATAAAGAGTAATATTTTCTTCTGCTGGACGATAACTTCATGGTACATTCTAAGACTGCTCTTGCTTTAATGTGAAGAAATTCTTGATCAGAAGTGATACTCCTCACACTGTGTATTGAGGGTTGCAATTTATTTCATTCTGCAAGTTGATTATTAGATGTCAGGCCGTGTGCAAATCTCTCAAAAAGAATACCGATTTGCAGAGTTCTCGAGTACTTTCGTGTTTGGTTGACTCTTTGAGGTAGGTACTTCTTCCCACTTCCATAGTGGAGGGAGCACAGGCCTAGGGAAGGGATGTCTCCTGCCTGCTCTCCCACAGCTTGTACGTGGTGAGCCTGGAACTTCAACCCAGGTCTTGGGACGCATGTAGTCAGAAGGTCTAAGGTGTTTATTTTCTTTCCCAAGAGATTGACTTTACTTTTTGTAAGTCAGCATATTATCATAGACTGTCTGACATGCTACCAGTCATTCTTCCTGGTCTTTTTTTTTTAATCTTACTTACTTTGGGGAGATTGGATTGGGCTACACCCTGCAGTGCTCAGGACTTACATCTTTCTCCGTACGCAGGGATCACTGCTGCTAGTGCTCCGGGGACCAGTAGATCGTTGGGGATGAAACCTGATTGGCTGAATACAAAGCAGGCATCCTACCTGCTGTGCTATCTCTCTGCTCACCAGTATTCTTCCTCTGAACATTTTTTTCTTTATTAGTATTTTGTCACGGTCACGGTCCTCCCGTTGTTCATGGATTTGCTCGAGCGGGCCCAGTAACGTCTCCATCATGAGACTTGTTGTTACTGTGTTTGGCATATCAAATACGTCACGGGTAGCTTGCCAGGCTCTGCCGTGCAGGCGAGATACTCTCAGTAGCTTGCCGGGCTCTCCGAGAGGGGCGGAGGAATTGAACTCGGGTCGGCCATATTGGCCGCTTGTAAGGCAAATGCCCTACCACTGTGCTATCGCTCCAACAGTAGTCTAAATTACTGAAGTACTTTGTGTCACTTTCATTTTTTGTGTCATTTGTGTCATTATTTTTACTGAGTATCAGTCATTTCAGCATGCCTAGAATGTGGTATTCCAGCAAGGTTTTCTTTTTGGATCAGAAATGACCTTCAGTAAGGTCAGTGCTTATGGAGACAGCCAGTCACAGCCCTTTTGACCGACGGGCCGTATCTGGGGAAAACAAGGAACCTTTAAGACGGACAAAGCTGCATCAGTTGTCCAGCTCATTGGTGACTGCTTAGTTTCCAATTTGCCAAAGGGAAACCAATATGCCTGAATTACTAGAAAAACCATGATGGATAATGTCCCAGAAAACAACTTGTGAATCTAAAGTAGCCAGTCTAATTCAGAGATAAAACTTGGTGTGTTGTTAAAAATTCTTCAACCAGCAGTGGAAAATGTTAGCTCTTCTCTTTCCATGTGGAAAATTAAAGCTGTCATTTTGAGAGTCAGTTTGTCTGCTCCATAGTGAAAAAAATAATATTTTAATATAACACTTCAATTTACTACCATATAGTAGCGATAAAGTAGAACTGGGATGTTCCACCCTTTGGTTATGAAGAGATTACTTTATGCTGGAGTAAACGGTCACCGAAGACAATGAACCAAAATCAAATTCTAGAAGGGAAAGAAAAAGTTCTAAAAAGAACAACCACTATGACTGCTGGCTTAGAATCCATAAGGGATTTCTATGGGACTTTTTATAAGTGTATGTGGGATCATTTTTGCAAAACTTTGTAACAGCTAGGGTGTTTTCCTTGCACATGGCTGACCGAGTTCAGTCTCTGTCCCATAAGATCCCCAGGAAGACTTCCTGAGTGCAGTGCAAGAAGTAACCTGAGCATTGCTGGGTGTGACACCCCGCCCCCCAACTACCAGAGAGAGAGAGAGAGAAAGAGAGAGAGAGAGTGAGCAAGGGGCTGGGTGATAGTATGGCGAGTTAGGAGAGTTTGTTTTGCACACATCCAACCACGTTCAGTCCTCAGCACCTGTTGTGCTCCCTGAGCCTGTCAGGAGTGATTCCTGAGTACAGGGCCAGAAGGAAGCCCTGAACACCAACGAATATCACCTCAAAAACAAATAAAACCAAGTTTATAACAGCTCTATGCATTTCTTTTTGAAAATACCGAGAGAGTGAACTCTGGTCTTCTTACTTGCTAATTATGGCAGTCATCTTGTTTCTGAGAAAGGTCACTGTCACTATTCTCCTGTTGTTCATCGATTTGCTCAAGCGGGCCCAGTAACATTGTGAGACTTGTTACTTGATACTGTGTAGTATCTTAGAAAGGTAGGGGGTTAAATTATCTTTCCTTACTCAGAGTCAGAAATTATCTCAGAACTCCTTATAGGCACGTCAATGGAATGCTCCAAAATCTGTCATCTTTTTGCTGGGGGTTGGGGTCGGTGTTGGGCCACACTTGGCAGCACTCAGAGCTTTCGCCTGTCTTTGTGCTCAGGGATCACTCCTGGAGGGGCTCTGGGGACCGTTTTCTGGTGTTAAGGATTGAACCCAGGTTGGGTTCTTGTGCAGGCAAGTTCCTTACTACTGTATCTCTGGCCCCCCAAAATCTGTCATCTTGAGATTGTATCATGTTTGTGGAGCATAGGGGAATAACTGTAAGGCTATTGGCTTTGCAAAGTCTCTGCAGATTTTTTTTTTGAAGTTATGAATGATCTGACTGGTAATCTGTTTAGATTTCAAAATCATTTTGCCCTCTTTCCATGATGTATCCTGTTGTTTCCTTCATGACTTTCCACTGTGTCTTCCTTGACACATTCCAGGGCTAAAATCTCTCCTAGAGAAGAATTATTTCCCAAACATAGCAATTATTTCTTTCCCTTTATCACAGAACTTTTAAAAATATACACTCTTGATCATTATTCATCACGACTTGTGCATTTCATAGCTTCTTGCCTTCTGTTCACTCGATACTACTGAACGCCTTCCCTTGACATTCTTGCGTGGTGGCCAGAACCTGGGAGGGCATTTTCAGTGGTGCCTCCCAGCAGCGCTTTTGACCTAGGACCTGTTCCTCCCTTGCCACCCATAGCACTGTGTTCTTCTGGTTGGGCTTCCTTCTGCATTTCTGAAGTTTCGATGATGCTTTTTGTCATTGTCCTTGTTTTCCAGTTTTTCCTTTTCTCCTTTTGTGTACCAGTATTTTTCTTTTTTTCTTTTTGTTTTTTGGGCCACACCTGCGTGATGCTCCATATGTGCTGGCTCTGCTCTCAGCAATTATTCCAGGAGGGGGACCATACGGGATGCCAGAGTTGGGATCAAACCTGGGTTGGCCGTGTGCAAGGCAGGCATCCTGCCTGCTGTACTGCCACTCTGGCCCCTGTGTGTGAGGACTTTTATCTTCCTTCTCTCCTTTTGGTGCCTTTTCTGCTCTGTGGTATATAAAGTTTTTTCCACCTCTCCTCTTTTTAAATGACTTTTTCTAGTCCCCCTATTAGAAGTGATATCTTCACGTTGGATTTATTACAGTTCTGCTTTGATGTAAGTTAGGGCACCTTCATAGTGACTGCTTTGTTTCCTTGTTTTTTTTCTGTGCATGTTGGAGTTTGATTTTTTGAGTACCCCTCTTATGGGAAACAGACATGAGCTTCATTTTTTCTCCTCTTTCCCTTCACACTCACACATTTTCTCCAGCCCTTCCTTGTTCCCTGGCACTGTCACCCCTTCTCACCTCTCTGGAATCCCTTGCTAGCTTGTTTTCTGTTGCTTACCACACTCCCTGCTGTTTTTATCCCAACGACTGTTGGTTGTTAGGAGCTGGTGGTTCGTTTCCTCAAGCGAGCGTCCAATAACCTGCAGCATTCACTGAGGATGGTACTCCCCAGCCGGCGGCTGGCACTGCTGGAGCGCAGAAGAATCCTGGCCCAGCTACTGGGTGATTTCATCATTGTGTACAATAAGGTAGGTGGTGCGTCTGCTCGTCGTGTCCTCAAGATTGTGCCGATGGCCGGGGCAGACTCCCTCTAGCAGCGTGCTGAGCGTCTCTGCTTCTCAGGCCTCATCTGCATGTTCCTTTAGGGGGGGAGTTTTACCTGGCGGGGTGGAAAAACAGTGTTTCTTCCGGACTCTATGGTTGTACTTCTCTGATTCTCACAAAGCCCATTCCAAGCTCTGTTGTACCTGGCCATTGTTATTGTGTTTGTCAACAGTGTGAATCTACTCTTTGAGAGTAAATATAAACTGTGGGTTTAATATCATGACCATTATCATGAGAAAACTACGACTTGGGTTTTTGTTTTTTGTTTTTTGGTTTTTTTTGTTTTTTTTTTTTTTGCTTTTTGCTTTTTGCTTTTTGCTTTTTGGGTCACACCCAGAAATGCACAGGGGTTACTCCTGGCTCTGCACTCAGGAATTACTCTTGGCGGTGCTGCTTGGGGGACGATATGGGATGCCGGGGATTGAACCCGGATCTGCCGTGTGCAAGACAAACGCCCTACCCACTGTACTATCGCTCCGGCCCCCTATGACTTGATTTTATATTAAAACATTTCTTTTGGGGAAAAAAAGTGAATTTTGTTTTGTTTTCTTTTGGGGGGGAAAGGAGGTGAATGTTTCCTTAAGAATGTTTTGAATTGTTCTGTGGAATATTTTAATACCATGACTTAATTTTTTCAACCCGGCTCGGGAATTATACTAATTAGAGTATTTGGTATGGTATCTTACATATGTGGGTCTCAGTACTTTAACATCATTTTTTGTGTCAGTAGGACCACTTTGTTAAAAGGAACTTGAGACCTGGAAATTTAAGTAACTAAAAGAGAGGGTGAGGGTGGAATGGTTAATACAGTGTCAACACACCAAAGCTGCATCCAGAATCTATTTTAGATTCGTTGAAAATTTTGCCATGTCTTAAGTGTAAGGCTTATTTATTTCATTTGAATGTTATTGTAAGAGTTTCTTTCAGGCTCTAGCTTTCCTTTTCCTAACTGGTTGCTTCCTTGTTTTGTGTTTTGGTCACTCCCGGCAGTGCTCAGGAGCTACTCCAGCGCTCTGCTTATGGGTTGCTCCTGGTTGTTAGCTGGGGGACCGTGGGGCTAGGGATGTGTTTTGACCCCTGAGGTCTCTTCCCAGGTCCTCTTTTCCCTCGTTATAAGAGTCTCTGTTCTCATAACTGTTAAAGCTGCACAAATCAAACTCATAACAACAACAACAACAAAAAAATAAGCTAACTCCAAGTACATCACAGACATTGCTTATCTGCTATAAAAAAGCTTTCTCATGGGCTATTCAAGAAAAAAGATAAGATTATGATGAAAATTTACATTTGTTCTTCAGGTTGTACTGGCATATTCTAAAATAATTCATGAGATGATGGTAGAAAATAATATACCAAATTTCTAGTCACAGAGGTATATGGAAGATTTAAATGTCTTTACTATTAAGCAAATTAACCAAAGATAATGAAACCAGCTGATGAAGTGTTCCTTCATCGGGAGTCTGTTTTATCTTACTGCTTTTCTGTGGGGGTTGGGGACTTGGGCAGGAAACAGAACAAATGGCTGAGAAGAAATCAAAGCGGAAACTGGAGGAAGAGGAGGAAGATGGGGTGAATGCAGAAAACTTTCAGGAGTTCATCAAACTAGCAAGGTATAAAATGTTCTCCATTAATAAGAACTCTCTTCATTTTCTGTACTACTCCCGTTGAATGCCCAATATTCCCTTGTTTGTAAGAAGGGAGAGTGTGGGTGAAATTATGTTCTGAAAGAGAAAAATAAGTTTCATAGGATTGGCCTCTCCCTATCTCAGCCAATTATTTTTCTGTTTCCATGGTTTCGGTTATCAGAACACTGCTGCTGGATATCTGTGCTGTATTTCTAGACAGCCTTAGAGTTCATCCCACTCAGAGTGCCGAGAGGGCCCTCTGGAAAGTTGGATTTCGAGGCTTCTAAGTGTTTACTGGGATGGGAATCTATCCCTGATCACTCAGTGATGACCAGATCTTGCCTCAGTTGAGAGGGTTGAGAAATTGGCAGTTTCTCAGCAGTCTGGGGGTTACGCCTAATTTATAGAAAATAGAGCAAGTCCTTCATGCTTAGGCTTAGTTTTCAGGGATGGGAAATCTTAACACTGAGCTCTCTATGTTGATACGAAGCAGCCAGACCATTTTCCCCCGTTTACGATGTGTTTTTGAAGGAAGGGGGAGCAAAGGCGTTTAATTTGTCCCTTTTTTAAGAGTCACAAAGGTGCCCAAAACCGCTGAATGAAGGCTCAAGCATTTGTCTAACACCATTTATAGACTTCTGCAAAGTCCCAGTATAGAGATAAGCAGTACCACAGAATCAGCTCAGTGGATCGGTAAGGTTGAATTGGACGGTGTTTCTCAGTGTTATACACCTAGCCAGGGCCTCAAGATCCCATATTTAAACACATAGCAAACAGAGATGTAATCCTGTAATTGCTTTTGTTGACACTAGGTCCTGAGCACTGTGATTGATGAAAGCAGGTCCAGAAGCAAAGCAAGAAACACTTTATGGGCAAGGGCTGGAGTGCAGCAGCAGGGCCCTTGCCTTGCAGGAATGAGGCTCTGGGTTCGATTCCTGGCACCACAAAACAGAATAGAAACACTGCCAAGGAAACACTCTCTCACCTCTTCATTATACAGATAGAGAAAAGTAGGAAAAATTAGAGTATGAAAAAATAGCTCTGATTTTTAAAGTTAAAGGATTCTCAGTTCCTTCCAGGGATCTTCAGGTTTCTTGAAATCTGAAAGAAGAGTGAAGATAGCATTCTTAAACGTAGTGTCGGTTTCTTTATAAGGTCTTAGTGGGTACTGAAAATGAGGCCTTTGTACTGTTATCTGTTGGAACTGACACGGAGGTGAAATACATTGTAAGGCATTTCACCCTGTTGTGGCTTGTCTGAAAATGATAGTTGGAAGCATGTGACATCATTTTCTTTGGTTAGGTCTGGGTGGCACACAGCTATCTCTGTGAGGCCGTTTTGAATTTGGTAACTTCAGCCAGGCAGGGAAGCACCTGACATAAAGGAGGCAGGGAGCGGAGAAGATGGGCACTCAGGGGCTGGTTCCCATTGTGCGGGGAGATTGTGTGGGGCATGAGGTGCTTGATTCCACTCGCTGCACCGCGGGGCGTGACCTTCCGAGCACAGAGTGGGGAGCAGATGCCTGCACCACCAGGCAGGGGCCACAAATGACGGGGTATTGTTTGGACCTTTCCAAGTTCTGTGAGGCCAGGGAAAGCACAGTGATGGTGGGGGTGGGGGTGGGGGTCGCTGCCGGCCTCTGAGGCAGGGCACTGGCAGTTTCCCCGAGCACCCTGGCTGTGGCGTGTCTCCGTGTGGGGGTGCCTGGGGAGCTCAGGGCTCACACGGAGATCCCTCGAGGTGGCATCCTGAGTGCTCATTGGTGACTTCTGAAAATGGGCTCTAGGCTCCTGGCGGCAGGACAGCACTACTGTGCTTACTGAGGGACCACTTCTGGGGGCAGTCAGGCTCCAGGGCAGACAGAGGCCATCTAGAAGCTCCTGGTGGTGCTATAAACCCATGCAGGAAGCAGCAGGCAGTGCCGGTGATTTGAAGTGCCTCAGAGCTGGCCCATGCAGGTGGCTGGGGAATGCTTTCCTGGTGACACGGGGCCATGTGTTCCAAAGGGGTTGCCGGCCCAGCAGCCCATCCAGGGTGCCCTAGCTACCTCAGGTGCGTTTGTGCACACTGCTTGCTGGCTGAGAGAAGATAGATTTCCAGGGAGCTCCTGGTCTTTCCAGGGCAATTGAGCTTGACACTGTGGGTTTCCTTATTTTCACTTGGGGAATAGGAGGCTTCTTGGCTGACTGTTCTTGAGGAATTTAAAAGGGAGCTGGGCAAATGGCAACGTGGCAGGTAATATCACACTTTCCATTCTGCAGACTCCATGTGGTCTTTGAAGCATGTTCTTCTTTAGGGACGGAGGTAGTACAGGGGTTCGGGGACTTGCCTTGCCAGTTCTGTCTCTGGCATTGCATATGATTGGGAGGGATCCTTGAGCACAGAGCAGGAAGTAAGCCCAGGGCACTGCTGGGTATGACTCCCAACCCTCTCCTGCCCACCCACAAACACCAAAACCAAAACACATAGATCTGTTTTTAGCATGTTGCCAGCTCAAAGCACATTGCTGCTCAGGATGGTCCCACAGTCAAGAGTTTGTTGACCCCTGATTTAGAATGTAGCTGTCCAGTTGAACGTATGTAAGCTATTACGCACTGAGATGTGGCTGATGTAACGGAGGGCAGGAATCTTTTAGTTTATTTAATTCTACTTAGAGTTACTATATTTTAAGTTTTTAAAATTTACCATATTGGATAGCACAGATCTAGAAAATTCACTGTGGAATGAGTGAAGTCTTATTGTACTTTAGAATTTTGCATTGCTTCATTCATATGCCTATCTCACCATCTATGAATCGGGGGGTTTTTAGCTGGTGCTTTTCATTGTGTCCTTCTTTCTTTCCTTTTTTTTTTTTTTTTTGCTTTTTGGGTCACATCCGGCAATGCACAGGGGTTACTCCTGGCCCATGTACTCAGGAATTACTCCTGGTGGTGCTCGGGGAACCATATGGAATGCTGGGAATCGAACCCGGGTTGGCTGCATACAAGACAAATGCCCTACCCACTGTGCTATCCCTCCAGCGGGTAGGGTGTTTGCCCTTCTGACTTTCTTCATGTCCATGATAAAACAGGGTGGTAGGGGCGGGGAGGTGTTGTAGAGCAGTTTCCCATTCCTGACCATACTTTTTCCCTCCTCGCTGCAGTGAGAGTGAGCTGGAGGAGGTGCTGACTTTCTACACCCAGAAAAACAAGTCTGCAAGTATCTTCCTGGGGACACACAGTAGGAGCTCTAAGACCAGTAGCAGCTGCTCAGATAGTGGTGCCAAAGGTGGTGAGTGTCTTGATGGACTAATGAAAAATAAGAACAAGTGACCGGGGAGATGAGCGGCTGGAGCAGAGACCGATGTGCTGTTGAGCACTCGATGCCCAAGGGGGGAGCCTTGACGGGGACGGGGGTTGAGTGGGCCCCAGGGAGTGGGCTTCTGCAGTGGGGGAGTGGGGAGGTCATTACATTTGAGTCCTAATAGTACAAGAAGGGGCATCAACTATATTTCGTATTTAACAGTAGAGAGCTTTTGGAGGAAACCTAACACTTACTGAGCATCCTGCTCTCTGCTGTGCATGCTTTTGTGTTTTTCTTACAAACATGCAAAACAGGAAACCATCACTACAAGAGAGGAAAATGGAAGTCAGAAGGCCACCCTGTGGGCTAAAGGAGTTAGAACCTGGGTCTGCCTCACTGGAGCCTGTGTGCCCTTCCCCTCTGTTCTCCAGCCTCTGCCAGTCATTATCACTCACCTTGGTTGCACGTTTTCCTTGCTCTGGCAAGACATCATTTTCATTTGATACAGGATAAGCTGATGGATATGTAAAACTGTTCATCATGAGTGGGGTGCTAAATATCCTTATTAATACCAAGCTCTTAATGCCCTTCAGCCCAGTGTTTACCAAGTGGATGATGCCACCCTCCCCCTCAACCAGTCATGTTGAGAGGAGGGGTGCCTTGGGTACAACTGGGTGGTACTTGAGTACAGTTAACCTAAAGAAGGTAGATTTCCAGGGCAGGCTGAGTGATTTTATTTATTTATTTTTGCTGGAAGTAGGTAGTAGGTCAAACAAGTTTGGAAAACTCTTTTTTTGTGTGTGTTTGTTTTTGTTTTAGGGCCACACCCAGTGATGTTTAGGGGTTACTCCTGGCTTTGCACTCAGGAGTCACTCCTGGTAGTGCTCAGGGGACTATATAGAATTCTGAGGATCAAACCCAGGTTAGCTGTGTGCACGACTAGCACCCTACCTGCTGTGCTGTCGCTCTAGTCCTGGAAACCTCTTTTTTTGTCCATTGTGATAGCCACCATGTTCCTTTGTGTTTCTGTAAGTTCTCATTGCTAGGGAACTTTGTGATTCAGACTTTTGGTATTGACGTGGGTCAATGTCTGGTTCAGGTCACTTGATCCCCAAGATAGCAGTGATGTTTCATTTATAAATAAAGCCTAGCTCTTTGTTTTTCCAAATTTTCTGGTTCTCTTAGGCAGTGCTGCTTATTGAGCCAAGGTTGGAGGTTCAGCATAAGACCCTGATCGTCAGTGCACTCTTTTTGTCAGCATAATGGCCCTAGAGTGGAAGATGAAGACTTCTTCCCTGTTCTTTAGGCTGTTAGAACCCTTACCAGGGAAATCGGCATTTCACACCTTGGTGGCTTCTTCCAATGCTAAGGTTTTGCCAGATGTGACTGGGTTTAGAACCTGCGGATCACTGTCTGATTGAGTAGCTGTGCTCTGAGATGTCACTTTTGAGCCCCATCATCTTTTCCAAGCTTCCCTGACTGACCTGTAAGCACTGAAGCTAGTTGATTCATCGTCCTACATCCCCTCTCCAGTCTTACTGAGGGCCTGTGATATGTTGGACATTGTGGTCATTGGTATGATCAGTGACAGGGCTCTCATAGTCCCGTACCACTGGGTGAGGTTGGGTGAGTGAAACAGAAAGGAATTGGCAGGAATCGGGGATATGAGCCAAGGGAGGTGAGGGCCTTTTAGCGTTCCCTCCCCCACCCCACAGTGATGGGAAGCCGTCCCCACATTCGTAGCCACACCAGTTCTCCTTAGAAATTCTGGGTTCTTAAAGACTGTATTTTATTTGGAGAGAGTTCACTAGGCAGTGTTCAGGGACTGTTACGACTTTGTGCTCAGGAGTGACCCCTGAGAGTAAGAAAGGACCATATATGGGCCCAGGGATTTGAACAGGGGTTGACCACTTGCTAGGCTTATACCTTAACCCAGGTGCAGCGCCGTAACTATCTTTCTGGCCCTCAAGACTATTTTTATAAGGCCAACGCCTGTGAAGATAATAAGACCGATCTTTATAAGGCCAACACCTGTGAAGACTAATCTGAGAAATAGGAACACCTCCACCAAGGAGACATTTTGGCATTTGAGTCTCTTGGGTCATTTCAGCCCTGAGAAAAGAAATGCAGGCCAGTGACAGCACTGGAAGGTGCTGGTGAGAAGAGAATTCTTGTCTTCCTTCCATTCTGAAAGATATGACCTTTATAAATATTCTAAGACCTAGCCCTTGAGTTTTAGGGATATTTCCCTAAATATATAATAAACTCTAACTGTCCTATTTCAAAATTCTGTGGTAGAGAAAAAATAATTTATTCCAGTAGAAATATATTCTACTGGAGCTGATTTTGATTTTTTTAATATACTGATCAACCTCTCAGGTAAACTCAACCTGCACAATGTAAAACCAAGGAGTTTAAGATGCAGAACTATTGTAGTTATCTAGTTTTTCTTGACAGCAAAAATTGGGACTGCCCTTTCAAGCTCTCGCTGGTTGCCCTTCCCCACGGATATTATGACTTCTTTGCTCTAGCTGCAGAGGTTCCCAGGCTTGTTCGACCTTCTACCCCCATTTTGGGGGTGGGGGAAAGAACTCCCCTGAAATTCTTTATGTGACCCCCTCGGCTCTCCCTTACTGCTGCGCCCCACCCTTGGTCAGTGCCGTGCCTCTCAAGGTGTGGCAGTACCTTCTGTAGGAAGCAGTGCTCTAGAAGCCCCCAAATCCAAGCGTCGTTTCTCTTGTATTCCTAGCAGAGGCATCTGATAGTCTCCACTGTCTTTCTTTTCCAGGCATGCCCTAGCTAGTTGGCTTTCCACAGAATCCTGCTCTGGGGTTCAGTTAGCTGGTGCTGGGACTCAGGGTGGTTGAGCATCATTTGATTGGTTGTCCACTCAATGTGGCATGTCCATCCTAGGAAAGACAGCTGAGGTGAAATTTGCCCTGATGCCTTGTATTGAGTACACGTTCTGTTCTGTTTTGGAAACAGAAGTTTATGTAGAGTCGAGTCCTAGCTTTGGACTAGCAGAAGAGCCTAAGCACAATCTTTATTATTTTTTCAGATCACCCTGAGACAATGGATGAAGTGAAAACAAAGCAGTCCAAACAACAGCAGGCAACAGAAATTCACTCGGATAAATTATCTCGTGAGTGACTTCAAATCTATACAGATCTGCTACTCTCTGCTAAATCCCTGAAAGCTATCAGATAGTGGTTACAAAGCATAAGGCATTAACCCGAAGAAATTCTTTCTTGGTTCTTCCTGTCCCTTAGAATTTCTTCTTATCTACTGCTGGTAACCTGTATTCCTTTCAAGGAATTTTTTACTTCTTTAATGTCAAGGAATTCTGAGCATTTTCTTTTTTCCTAGAAGGATGAAAGGCAGAGGGAGAGGAGTTACTATCAGAAACTGCCTGACCACCTTAAATTTGTAAAATACCTGCTCTGGTTGATGAGGGTCATCCTAATTCTAGCTCTTAAAAAGAACTGAAAACAAACTGTGTGGCCAGGTTGTCTTGGCTGGTAAAATTTGTTAAGTTCACGATGAATGCTCATTTAAAGTCTATATTTGTCATGAGTTGTGTTTCATGCTAAGATTATTTCTATGTTTAAAAAATGTTTACCTTGTGTTTTATAGCAATTGTCAGTTTTTCCTAAAATGATGTTTTTTGTTTGTTTGTTTTTGTTTTAATAGGATTTACCACTTCAACAGAAAAAGAAAATAAATTAGTCTATACCCATTCTTCCTCTGCTTCTTTCTCTATCCCGGCTGCTGCCCTTCTGCAGAAAATTCCCAGCACCCATTTCTCATCTATTATCACAACCTCTGACCTCTCTGCAGGGCTGGGCCACCATCCTTTTACTCAGATTCCACCATCTATCCCCAGCATGCATCACAAGTCGACAGTCTTACTGAGCACAGTCCCTGACCGTGAACCTCCCTCCGTACACCCCGGAATACAGACTGTACCAAGCCCTGGTGGCCTACCACGTTGTCGATCAGGCAGTTACACAATTGGCCCCTTTTCCTCTTTCCAAAGTGCTGCACACATCTATAGCCAGAAACTGTCTCGTCCCTCTTCAGCAAAGGCAGGTGAGTGAGAAAATGAAAGGCAGCCTGCAATGCCAGCTCCTCCCAAGCCATCACACACAGGAATGCCATCTCTGCCCAGAAGCAAAGAGGCACACACGGCATTGTTCTGATGTGACTAAAAAAGAGTCTTGCATTTGGCCCAGTAGCATTCTTTCATTGATACCAAGTGAAACAAGACCTCTTGTAGGTGCTGGGGGGAATGAGGTGGATAAGGCAAGATTTCTAATCACTTGACTAGGAGCTTATAGTCAAGAGACTGCCCATCACAGATAACCATAGACCTTGCTTTCTTTCTGATTCAAGTGACTTCTGACGTTAGATGAGTTGGATATTTTTTTTTTACATTTTTGTTTGATGTGTTTAAAATTAAGAATGACCTGAATAAATAGATAACCCTGGATTCTTAAATTAGGGCACTGAATTTTAAATGAAGTAGACCCATATGATTGGTCAAGTTTCTCCCCAGTTTTTAAATAGGAGCTTTATGGAAGTGAAAATTCAATAGATTACAAGAAAGCCTTTAAAAAAATTTTTTTGAGCAATTTTTATTGAGGTACCAGGATTTATAGACTATTAATTATAAGTAATTTTGATGCATGCATTATTCCAACACCACACCCATCCCCAGAGAACCCGCTTCCTTCCACCAGCACCTCAGGGGCCTTTCCCATGTAAGTTCAGTTCTGCTGACAAAATCTCTAGTTCCAATAGGTTTGGAAGAAAGTCTTCTTTAAAACATACAAGTTAGTAGTTTCTAGTGTATTCTAGAGTTACATAACCAACATCACACTCTGATTTGAGAACATTTTCTTTAAAGAGCCCATACCTAGTAGCAGTTACTGACAATTTTCTCATCTCGTCAGTTCATGGCAATCACTAATCTACTTTCTGTCTCTGTAGATTTGGCTGTCCTGGACACTTCACATAAGTGGAATCAGATACAGTTTGTGGACTTTTGTGAATGATTGTTTTCATTACCCCAGTGTTTTCAAGGCTCATCTGTGCTGTAGCATGTATTGCAACCCTATTCCCTTTTATGGTTGAATAGTGTTTCTTTGGATGTGTAGAACATATTTTTCTTAAAGTTATAATTTCATGAGCAGTTGAGTTGTTTTCAATTTTGGGCAAACTGAAATGCCAGATAATATGAAAAGTGCTGCTGTGAACATTTGCATACAAGTATTTATGTATATATTTTATTTTTTCTTGGGTGTGTATATTCAAGGAGTAAAATGATTGGATCATATGGTAACTTTATCATTTTTTTTGGAGGAACTTCCAGTCTCTTTTTTTGTGTGACATTTACCACTAGCACTATATGAAGGTCCAATTTCTCCATATCCTTAACCAGTTCTACTATTTTACGCATCCTGGTAGGTTTGAAGAATGTCTTTTTTGTGGTTATGATTTGCATTTTCCTGATGACCATGACATCGAGCATCTTTCATGTATTCATCACTGTCTACCTTCTTTGGACAAAGTCTATTCAATTCTTTGCCCATTTTAAAATTGGGATATTTGTCTTTTTATTATTATAGTCTAGATAAATATCCTTTAATTAATCTGATTACAAGTTCTTTCAGATACGTGATTTAGAAATTTTTCACCCATTCTTTGGATTATTCTTTTATTTTCTTGAAACAAAAAGACTTTAATTTTGATGACGTCTAAGTTACCTAATTTTTCTTTTGTTCCTTATATTTTTAATTTCATATGTGAGAAAATACTACCTGTTCCAGAGTTGCAACTTCTTTTTTTCTAAGAATTTTCATAGCTTCTATGTTTAAATCTTTTTTCTGATTTTTGAGTCAATTTTTATGTATGGTATAGTCTAAGGATGTAACTTCCTTCTTTTTCATGTAGAGTTTAAGTTATACCAGCACCATTTGTTAAAGAATATTTTCCTGTTGAATAGTCTTGGTCCTCTTATAAAGAGCTACTTTATAGTCAATGTGAGAGTTTATTTCTAGAGCCTTAATCCTTCCCCACTGTTCTGTATATCTGTGCCTATTCCAGTCCCACTTGCCTTGATAACTAGAACATTGTAGAAATTTTTGAAATCACCAAATGTGAGTCTTTCATCTTTGTCTTCTTTTTTAATATTATTTAGACTATTCTGGATTCCATATATTTTCATGTAAACTTTAGGATTAACTTGTTCATTTTTACAAAAATGGGCAGGTGAAAATTTTGGTAGAGAATGCATTGAATCTGTAGATTAGTTTGAAGATAGCTAGTTTGAAGATTTTACATATCTACATATGAAATATATGTGCCCTATATGTTATATATGCATATATAATTTTCTTATAGGTGCAGAGAATGATTATATATTACAAAAGACTCAATTCTGAAGAGGTGTGAAACATTTCTAATGTATCTTACACAACTTCCCCCAGGCCAGGAAATGTCACCCAGTAGTAAATGCCTCTTGCCTTATGTCCGTGGGTCTCTGGGTTTCGCTCTGACACTGCAAAAAAAAAAAAAAAATCCTGCAATACGTAAAGCAAAAATGAAGATGATATGAAGTATATATAGATCCACAGTGGGACTTTCATTCCCTGTCAAATATTAATAAATGAAGCAAATTTTTAAAAAATTTATTGTAGTTTAGGTAACATGATTATGATAGTGTTTCTGTTTATGGCACCTTCACCCTAAACAGGTATTTCAAAATAGTCTAGATGAATATTTGAACAAGCTTCATATATTAGCCTCCAGAAAATTACGTTCCAGATAGAGAACACTTTCTTAAGTATACATGGTTTTAAAAATAAGTCATGTTCTACATCATAAAATAAGACAAACTAAGGAATTGGTGTGCACCACATTCTTTGTTCTGGAATTAAAAGGAATGTCAGTAAGAAAAATATATATGCTAATCTCATGTATTTCAAAATTGACAGTTCAAAATGGGAATAAATTTTAAAATATCAGAATGGAAAGAAAATGGGAAAATTGCATGTCTGTGTTGACAGCTGTGAAAAGCAGTATTTGGAAGGAAATCTGCCACCTTAAATACTTAGCAAATCTATCTGAATAAAGGAGAAAGAACAGAAGCAAAAATCAAAGAATTCAAAATAAAATAGAATAGAAAAAAAAAGTCAAAAGTTCAGTGAAAAGTCTACTGAGACAAGCAAGCTTTGATAAAACAGGTTGAAAAAGGAGAAAAATAAAATAAGGAATGGAAAAGCAGGTTGAAAAAACAAATAAATAAAGCATAGGTTACAAAAATAATAGAATCCTGTTAGCCACTTTATCCCAGTAAAACCAAAAGTTTATACCAAATGGAGAAACACCTCCAAAGACATAACAAGTAAAATTCACTCAAGGTGAAGAAAGATTGAATAGAATTACAGTTATTCAAATAAGTGATACAGTTGTTAACAATCTTCTCATCTGGCAAATATGAGATCCAGATTGTTTTAGAATTTATTCTAACAGTCTTTCAAAGGCACGCATTGTTTGAATCTTCCTTTTCTAGAGAGGGCAAAAAGATAAATAATAAGTCTAAACTTACTCTGTATTTTTGTGTACTCTTGAAAAACTAATTAAGGAAATTTGAAACACAACCCACTCAAATCAGTGGTGTTTCTGTAGTTTAGTGGTTATCAAGTTCGCTACACAACCCCCTCAAATCTGACAACGTTCAAGAGAAGGGACCAGGAGCAAGTTCATTCTAGGAATACAGGAAAAGTATTTAACATTAGAAAATCTGCAAATGTCATTTGCCACATTTGTGTATTAAGGGGAGACAAAGTATCATCTTCTTAGTAGATGCAGAAAAAGATGATAATTAATTCTACATTCGTTCTTGAAATCACTCAGCATATTATGAAAAGAAAGAAGCCTCTTAGCCTGAAAAGGGGGTGTCAGGCAGGAGAGAGAGCCGCATTTTAGCTGCTTGCCTTGCTTCCATCACACCTGGAGGTCCTTGAGCCCCACCCCAGTGTGACCCAAAACTGAAAGAAAAGGAAAAGAAAGAAAAATGAGTAAGTGCTAAAAATACAAAAGGAATTAAGTGAGTTGGGAAGTACTGGATTCTCTCCCTAAAACTGTAAGAACAAGGAAGTCACTATAGGTCTTCCACTTAGTGCTTCATTGGTGGTTGGAACCTGTAGTCAGACAGGGAAAAAAACATGTCAGAAGAAAATACTGTTTCCAGATCCTCTGTCTCTCTAGAGAAGGCTGAAAGTAATCTATGGATCGCTCTCCCATCAGGGGATGTGCAGTTCTCTAGACCAGTTGTCAGGTTCTTTTGTTTCTGACCATTTGTTATTCCCTTACTCTGTGTCTTTATCACGACATATTAAAAAAAAAAGTCATTAGCAACAAAGTATTCGAAAATATTTTTTGTGTAGTGTAATAAAAAATAAAAAATTTAACATTTAACTCTTTTTGCATGCATTTTACTACTAAACACATTCATATCACCACCAATCCAGTTTTCTTTGTGGAGTAAGGGGGCTCCCAGGCAGTGCTCAGAGGACCTAGGTGCACTTCAGGTGAAACTTGGCCTACAGGGCCTGATAGTTTAGTGTTCACACCCAGCAGTACCGGATCTGGAGATCAAACTTGGGAGTTTGTACATGAAAGACTTGTGCGCCAGCCCTTTGAGCTAACTCTCAAGTCCTAAGCACATTTTTAAGAAAACATTATTTTGTTTGGGGATGTGCCCTGCATGTGTGAGACCCGGAGTTTCATCATTGGTACAGCCAGTTATGATCCTTGGCACTCCGCCCCCCCCCCTCCCCCGCTTACACACACACCACAAAATAAAATGATAAAAAATAGAAAACATTTTTTATGAAAGAGTTGTATAAAAAAATTTTATGACTTTTTTTTTGAGAGACATTACAGATGATTTAAATAAATGAATAATGACACTATATACTCGGATAAGAAGACTCAGTATCATAAAATATTTTGTCTCTCATCAGATTGATACCCAGATTCAATTTATTTCCCGCCAGAATGTTAACAGTTTTGTTGTACTTGACAAATCTGAAATGATATGGAAATGCAAAAGGCAGAATATAATGAGAACCCATTGAGAAAAAGGAGGTGGAGAAACCTCTTATTGTGACTTGAGATAAAGATGTAACAGTTGAGATAGTGGAATTTTGACAATGGTACAGAGATACTGGCCAGTGGAGGAGAATAGAAAGTTAGAAAACAATGGCACAGATAGAGTTCTCGTGTGTATATACGTGTGTGTGTGTGTGTGTGTGTGTGTGTGTGTAAAGATGATACTATAAATAGTCGGAAAGAAGAATTTCTCAATAAATGGTGCTGGGATAATTTTGATCTAATTAAGAAAAAAGTGAAATTAGAATCCATTTCACACACACAAAAACACCCTCAAATTAAGTAAAAGAGACCATCTCTGAGAACTTACAGTAGGAAGCAAAAGTCAAAACAGTGAAACAGGCCCAGGTAGTACAGAAGTAGGGTGTTTGCGTTGCTTGTGGCTGACCTGGATTAGATCCCTGGCATCCCATATGGCTCCCTCAAGCCTGCCAGGAGTGACCCCCGAGCATTCAGCCAGAAGTAAGCCCAGAGCACGGTAAGGTGTGGCAGCCCTACCCCAAAAACAAAACCAAGATGCAGTGAAACTCCTATGAATCAATAGGAAAGCCACTCAGTACAAAAATGAGCAGTGATAGCATAAAGGAGGTAACATGCTCTTCATTCGTGCCAGATGAATGTAAATAAAGATCACGATGAGATTTATACCACTTAAAGAGGGAAAGCATTTAGATCCTTGACAAGACTAAGTGCTGGAAAGTATGTGGGTTCTCAGGAACTCATATTTTCTTTGTGGAAGTATAAAAATCACCACTCACCACATAAGTGCTATCATTCGTGCCTGAAAACCCCCGTGCCCTTTGACGCTCAGTCACCCCATACCCAGGTGTGTGCCCAGCTTCTTCCGCATGCGCCCAGGAGGGCTTTGCAGCTAGATTCCTGGCTGCACAGTCTGTAACAGCAGCGGGCTTCCGATAACCAAGACTGGATGGGAGCTGAGGAATGAGTCACAGCGTTTTCAAAAAATGGAATACCAAATCACAGATAAAAATCCTTATAATTCTGCTATACTTTATAAAGGACAAGTCTTGGAAGTATGTCACTGAATTGCAAAAGTTTCCCAGGAAACTTCTTCAGTAACTTTTTTCTTGTAAAAGTGAATATATCAAGTGAAGGGAGTAAATGATAAAGGGAGCTAGGAGGGGCAACAGGAAGCACACAGATTAGTACGAGTTACTTGTTAAAGGTGGGTGTTGACTGCGGGTTGGGCATTTGCCTTGCATGGGCCGATCTGGGTTTGATTCCCAGCATCCCATATGGTCCCCCAAGCACCGCCAAGAGTACTTCCTGAGTGCATGAGCCAGGAGTAACCTCTGCATCGCTGGGTGTGACCCAAAAAGCCAAAAAAAAAAAAGTGGGTGTTGATTTGTGTAGTAAGTTTTCCATAATACACTTTATAACATGTTATAAATAACATTTGGTCTATATCAAATATAGTACCCTTGCAAAAGTTGCGGGGGTTTTTTTTGGTCACCAAATTATACATACAGAATGATGACAATTTTCTATGTAAGCATTAATAAGGCAGAAAGGAACTCCGTTGTAGATTTTTTACTTTCCAAGCAAGGTTGGGTTTGGAATGCATTGCCACCAGGGGCTGTGGCAGTGGCTAAGTCCAGTGGTGTAGGGCATTCACAACTTGCTCTCCTGTGTCAGATCCTCCAGGTTCCCCCTCACCCTCCCTCCCCCAGCACCGCTGAAGAAAGCTTTCTAGAGCAAGATAAGGGTTTCTTTTTATTTTTGCAAATACTTGAAAAGTGCTTACTATTTGGTGTCAGTCCAAGATCCCTAGGGACAGAGTTGGCTGAGATGCTTTGGTTATATTGTAAACGTCTCCCAGCTTTGCCCTGAGTGGGTACAAACTTTTCTTTTAGCAGGTTCATGCCATTCAAGCAAGCATGGAGGAGGAGCCAAAGTACAGAGGGAAGGAGAGGAGGGAGCTTCGTGCAACAAGCGGTACAACCCGAGTATGGTGACGGCTGAACTGCAGCGGCTGGCCGAGAAGCAGGCGGCGAGGCAGTACTCCCCTTCCACCCACATCAGTCTCCTCACCCAGCAGGTATGCCCAGGATCGCAGTGAAGGGTCAGCCCCACCATACCCTTTCTTCCCTCTTGCTCTGTAAAAGCTTATAAATTACCGGGGTCCAGGAGTGGCCGTTGCTCCCAACTAAATAATGAAAGTATTCCTCTTCACCTTCAAAGAAAACAAGCTGAAGCTGGAATGATAGTACAGCGGGTAAGGCATCTGCTGTGCATGCTGCCGACCTGGGTTCAATCCCCGGCATCTCATATGGCCCCCCCCCCCAAGCACCACCAGAAGTAATTCCTGAGTGTGGAGCCAGAAGTAAGCCCAGAGCATTGCCAGATGGTTGGCTCCCCCAAAACAAAACTATGAAACTTTATAAAATAAAAGGTAAAGGTAAAGGCCCTCCCGTTGATCATCGATTTGCTCGAGCGGGCCCAGTAACGTCTCCATTGGAGACTTTGTTGTTACTGTGTTTGGCATATCGAATACGTCACGGGGAGCTTGCCAGGCTCTGCCGTGCGGGCGAGATACTCTCGGTAGCTTGCCGGGCTCTCCGAGAGGGGCGGAGGAATCGAACTCGGGTCGGCCATGTTGGCTGCGTGCAAGGCAAACGCCCTACCGCTGTGCTATCTCTAAATAAGTAAATTAAAGAGAACAAGTTTTAGGGCCAGATAGATAGTATATTCCATATGGTCCCCCCAGCACCACCAGGAGGAATTCCTGAGCACAGAGCTAGGAATGAGCCCTGAGTATCTCCAGGTATGAGTCACAAAACAAAAGAAAACAAGGTACTTTGCTGGTTCTGTGGCATACTACTGGTTCAGAAGGGCTCATTTCATGCATTAAATCAACTTGAATATTCTCAGCTGTAAATGTGCTTTTTTCTAAAGGAGCTTTGAGAGTGACATTTTTCGCCCCTTTGGGAAAAATTTCCAGTGTTCTTTAAGCTTAGAAATCTTTTTACCAGAGTTTTATGACTTTAGCTTTCGCTTTTATTTTTTCACTTTACTGCCCTTCCTCTCATGATGTCAGGATGTTTTATGGGTCCAGGTTAATGAAGTCTTTCCAACATGTTTTTCACCCCATTTTACGAATGAGGAAATGAGGCCAAAAGAAATGATGCAATCAGAGTCAGTCCTACCAGGACTTTGAGATACACACACACACACACACACACACACACACACACACACACATACTCTCTCTCTCTCTCTCTCTCTTTCTCTCTCTCTCTCAGAACACACTTAAGTTCCATCAGTTGAAAGATTTTGATTGAAGCTGGAGAATAGAAGCTATGTCTTCTAATCTTAATAGTAAAATGGTGATATCCCCCAAAGGTATGAACCTGGTTTAACTCCACAGTTAGGTTCTGCTGTATGTGCATAATGTTGGCTTCCTTATTTGGTGGCAACTCTGTAATGATAATCAAGTCTTGAAAAAAGAGGAGCTGGTGCTTTCTTGAAACTCGTGTTGAAAGTAGGCAGCGCATGGCTTCCTGGCAGTGGGTGCCTGGCCGTATTTATCCCATGCCCACCTCGTCCCAAGGCATGAGGTTGCCATCGATTTTCTTTCCAGTCCCTTGCAGTTCAGAGGAAGCATTTGTGAATGGCCTAGTGAACAAAGTAAGCAAAAAAGGTAACTCTCAGAGGACAGTGTTAAAACTTGAAGGGAATTGGATCTTCCCATGAGAGTTGGACTGGGAGAGGATCTGTGGGGAGCACGGGGAGGAATCCGCAGTGATTCCAGGGAAGGGACAGGACCTGGGACGGGCTGTGCAGTTTTGATGGGGCCTCGGACAGGGTGCATTTTCCAGTGTATAAATTAAGGTATAAAGCCAATGTCTTTGCCATTTGAAGGGGAACTATATATATAGTGTCAGTGTGAGAGTTCACGTATTTTCAACTTCTCTCTTTTGATAGATGACCGAGCATGCAAGATGGTGTGAATCTTGATGCCCTAGGAAGCCACAGGGCAGTGTCTCTTAATTGGAAAGCTATGGGGCCAGTGAGTTGGAAGTTCATCAGACAACTGTTCATAGAGCCCTGGACTTACCATGACTTGTCAGCCTTGGCTTTCAATCCTGGTCACTGGGTGGTTATGACGTTCTGGGTGGGGTGGGAGAGTGCTGTAGCCCCAGGAGGAGTAGTGGGGGGACCTGACTGTGCCGTCCATCCTGCCTCTTCCTGCCTCTGACTCGCTCCGTGTGATCTTCGACAGGGTCTTGGCCTCTCTCAGTTGCGGGGGCTCTCTTGGTGAGGAAGAAACACAGCCGGGCCTTGGAGATGGCATAAACAGATGCTGCTTTGTGAAGTCCAAGTGCCATAGACTCGGAAAACATTGTTATTGTGGCCATCAGGTGTCTCGAGAACAAGTGCCTTCTAATTTGATTTGTCAGAGTACTTTCCTGGATCAAACAAAAGTGAACTTTGTTCCTGAACAGCCCAGTTTTGTGCTATTTGTCCCCGTCCTCTCAGTGAAAAGAATTCCTTAAGATGTGGAATTTGGGAAGTCTGTCTTTTATTCTTTTCCTGGTGAGTAATGTTAGAATGGCCCCAAGATCTTTTTATTGCTACCCGACCCTCCCCCCTTCCACAACTGGTGGTGCTCAGGACTTACTCCTGATTTTGTGCTCAGGGATCACTATCACTCCTGGTGAGACTCAGGGGACCATATGCAGTGCCAGGGATCAAACCAGGGTCAGCTGTGTGCAGAGCAGGAGCCCTATCCACTAGACGACTGTGCACCCTTTCCTTTTTCCCTCGCTCTATTTGTATTTTTACCTCTGTCCCATGAAAACATGCCAGGCTGTTTTCACTCTGGGCACCCTAGAGGGAGGTGAGTGAGAGCCCTCCCTGCCCCAAGGGATCCAGTCCCAGCAGCCGACCTCCACTACCCCAAGTGCCGCCACGCTCCAAGCCTCTTTCCTTACGCTCAGGCCAAGCCTCACATATGAGTGAACATATTCCTGACACATCATAAGACACTCCCTACCCATTTTCATAATTACCACACCATATTTGTTGGGGTTCAGACAGTAGGCAACAAATCATAGAGGGGGAATATATACATATATATATATATATATATATATATATATATATATATATATATCGGAGAGTCCGGCAAGCTACCAAGAGTATCCCACCCACATGGCAGAGCCTGGCAAGCTACCCGTGGCATATTCGATATGCCAAAAACAGTAACAATAATGGGTCTCATTCCCCTGACCCTGAAAGAGCCTCCAATATGGCAGCACTGGGAAAGACGAGTAAGGAAAGGCTGCTAAACCTCAGGGCTGGGACGAATGGAGACATTACTGGTGCTCGCTCGAGTAAATCGATGAACAGCGGGATGACAGTGGCAGTGACCTCCATCCCTCAGGAGGCCTGGGACCCAGGTCCTGTGCTGGAAGGCTCAGCACCCTGGCTACTCGCGTGGGGATGGGTTCACGTGCCTTTGTGACCCTCTTACCTGGGCTGCTTCCTTAGTTTCAGTTGCTATTCAGTGTGTGTGATTTCTTTTTTTTCTCTATACAGTAGTCTTCATGAATCTTTTCTTTCCCCCTTCCCTTCTTTGTATAGAGAAGTTTTTATTGTATTTATTGTTATTTTTTCTCATTAGTTGTTTTGTTGTTGTTATTTTTAATCTTTATTGATTCCCTTTGTCCTGCTCCCCCTAATTTTTCTTTATAATTTCTTCCCACTTTCTTGAAGTGGGTACTTGATTTTCCCACCCATTCTTGTTTTTCATTGTTTTCAAAGTTTTGACTTTTCCCCTGATCATTGCTTTAATTACAGCCCATAAATTCGGACATATCTTTGCATTGCTTTTTTGAGCATGGTGTCACTGAGACCTCCAACTAAATAAGGAAAATTGACTTAAATTACCTGTGCTATTTCAGAAGACATACCTAAAAGTTGAAATTAATGGGTATTTATGAGGGGGAAAAAAACCATTATATTTTGTTTATAATTTTAGTTACTTCACCCACAAAATCTTTGAGTGGCATTCCCCATAAAAGTTTTGTGGGTTTTCTTTTATTATTATTTATTCTTCCCAAACCATATTTTATCGGCACTGAACAGTGCCCCACTCTTGGTGCTTTGGCACAGTCTGTCCTGGGGATGCTCTCCTAGAGAACAGGAGCTGCAGTAACAGGCTCGGCAGGACCGCCCGGGTATTCATTCAGGAGAGGGCTTGACAGGAGGCTGAGGCACTGTCACCCGCTCTCGCCCCCTTCTCCTGGGGAATATGCCAAGGGACAGTGAACTAGCCCGGTGAGCAGTGCGTGGGCTGGGGATGGGACTCTGGTGGTAGAGCATGTGCCTGGCGGGTGGGAGTTGTTGGATTCTCTCCGGCAATGCAACCACGTGAGCAGAGAGGAAACAGAGTGCTTTGGCAGAATTTGCTCATCGACCTTGAGTCCTCCCAGGATTCTCATCAGAAGCTAGACTCTAGCACGTGGCTAACAAAAAGAACTCCACTGACTTTAGAATTACTTTTACTCCTTCTGCTATGATTCCACTTGCTTTTTTTTTTCTCTGCCTTCTTTTGGGGGTCACACCCGGCGATGCACAGGGGTTACTCCTGGCTCATGCACTCAGGAATTACTCTTGGCGGCGCTTGGGGGACCATATGGGATGCTGGGAATCAAACCCGGATCGGCCGCGTGCACGGCATATGCCCTACCCGCTGTGCTATCGCTCCAGCCGCTATGATTCCACTTTGCTGATAGCCCAGAGTAGTTATGATTTGCCCAGAACGTTTGACAGTCTCTGAAGTGGCCGCTTCAGAGAAGTCTGGGCAACATCTGGCCACTGGGGATCTGAAGAGGTCTGTGTTCTTCATGCAGTTACTCAGCAAATCTGATGCCTCTTACAAGTGTGAACAGTGAGCCGCTCAAAAATGGGTTCTTTTCCTTGGCGTACGAGAGGCCAGCTATTTTGTGGAGTGAGGTAGGATGCCTTGTGGATGGCTGAGTGCAGCCCCCAGACAGGCTTTTCAAGCAGTGCCTTTTGCCTGCTCCTGGGGCG